GTAGCTGCTCCAAGGAGAGGGCTCTGCCAGGTGTAGGACCCTCAGGCTCAGGACCTCCAGACTCAGAACCCCCAGACTCCGGACTCTGCGGCTCAGCACCCCCAGGCTCAGTACTCCCAGGCTCAGCACCCCCAGGCTCCGCACCCCAAGGCTCAGCACCCCCAGGCTCCGCACCCCCAGGCTCCGCACCCCCAGGCTCCGCACCCCCACGCTCCGCACCCCCAGGCTCCGCACCCCTAGGCTCAGCACCCCCAGGCTCCGCACCCCCAGGCTCAGCACCCCCAGGCTCCGCACCCACAGCTTGACTAGAGTCGATAGCTACCTGAACAGGCTCAACCGGGTCTACCTGAGACACACCTTAGGGAGCGGCACCCTGAGGGGGGAGGGGGTCTACGACAGCAGCACCTGGCGGCACGGGAGGAGAGCTTGTCCGCAAACGTATCGTGGACAAAAGCTCGAGAACCCCAGACCCGGAAACGCGACGCATCGCCAACCTCCCCCGTCCACAGCAGTGTGGGCAAGGTCTCCGGCAAGGAGACACGGGGCCAGAGGTTGAGCTGATGCGCAGCGTACCGGACCGCAAACGGCCACAGAAAGTGGGGGGCAACCGCATGGATCAAGGAGGTACGGACGACCTCCATGACCAGGCCAATGCGGCGCTCTGCAATCCCATTCTGCTGTGGAGAGGCCGGAAGCATGAACGACTGCTCAATGCCGGGCTCAGCACAATAGGCTGCCAAGAGGTCAGAGGAGAACTCACCACCTCTGTCGGAGTGCAAGCGCAGGACAGGAAAGTCCGAGTGGAAACGCTCGCTGAGATGGAGACGGGCTCTGCGGATCCAAGGGATCAAGACATCAAGGACCTCACCCTTGGTGCGCAAGGGGAAGACCGTGGTGTAGCGCGAGTAGTCGTCAACAACTATCGGGAAGTACCTCTCCTGACCCTGACCACGGACGCGGGCTCGGCCCCACACATCCATGTGGAGCGTCTGCAAGGGAGCAGTCGTCAAGGGAAACGAGGAGGAGTGAGGAGCGGCGCGCTGCCGCCCCTCGACGCAGGGAAGACAGGGAGGAGCAGACGAGGGTGGGAGGGGAGGGAGGACTCTGGGAAGACCGGAGACAAGGTACCGGGAGTGCATGGCACGAAGGCGCTGCACAGACGGGTGGCCAAGTCGGTGGTGCCAGAGGACAGTCTCGTGCGCCAGAGAGCGACACGAGTAGGGGGCAGATAGCTGACCTGACGCGGAGGCAGACGCAGACGCAGCGACCTGAGGGGACTCAGTGGTCAGTGTGTACAGGTCCGACCCCGGCTGCCGAGTGAAGGTAGCCAAGTGGCGGCCCGTACGAGCACACGTGCAGTGTGTCACGCGCTCGTAGGCAAGGGTGAACTGGTGAACACCCCCGTCCTGGAGTGCACTACCTGCCACCAAGTTCGTAGAGAACGAGGGGAGGTGGAGACCTGACAGTGTGCCCGACGGGACCGCAGGACAGGGAAGGACAGTGGAGGAGGTCGCAATGACCGGACCCCCAGAGGGGTCACCGAGGGAGACAGCAACTGGCCGAGCAAGCGGCTCAAGGGCAGTGCGCTCACGAAAGAAGCAGCGAGAAGCACCTGAGTCCAGTGTGAAGGTGTGCAGTGTTGCCGTCGACTCAGTACCAGGGGGGGCAGACGCACAAGCACCTAGAGCAGCTGCCTCACCAGCACCTGGGGTAGCAGACACGCGAGTACCTGGAGCGGGAGACGCACTAGTCCTAATGCCCGGGTCGGGCGGCACACACAGGTACTCAGCACCCTCTCCACTAGTAGACATCACATACATAGCAGTGAGAATAGCATCAAAGTCTAGAGCATAGATATCAATCCCCTTCTTCAGGAGATCAACCCAGCGGGGCAGCTCAGTGGCCTGAGGGAACTGAACACGCCAAGCCTCGTTGAGACGAGCGAAGCAGCACTGTGTGGCGTGCGGTCCCCCACAAGATTGACCAGTGCGGTCACTAGTGCGAATGTCGTACGTGCAGCTAAAGCCACCCCCCCCCCCCCCCCCCCCCCCCCGTGCTGAGAGTACCACTCACTGACCTCCTGGGGCGACGGAGTGTGCTGCTGGCCCTGGCCACCGCCAGCGCCTCCACGACCACCACCGCCGCCGCCACCTCCTCGACCACCCCAACTCCTGCCGCCGCCGCGTCCACCGCCACCCCCACCACCGCCTCCGCCCCTGCCACCTCCCCGCCGCTGCCGCCACCACCCGCACCGCTGCCACTAGCCCCTCCAGTCGCGCCACCACCCCCACCGCCGCCACCGCCCCCACCACCGCCTCCGCCGCTGTCACCGCCACCTCCCTTGCCCCCTTTGCCCTTGTCGCTGCGGCGCCCGCTTGAAGCAGACGCAGTCCCGACCTTCTCAGCACCAAGGAGGTCGACAGCGGCAGCAGAGGCGACAGAGGGAAGAAGGGGGGAAGGAGAACACCCCTCAAAGAACGGGGTACGGGGGTCGCCACGAGAGGCACCTACAGCGACTATGCTAGCCTCAGCTGGAAGGAGTTCCTTCTTGAGGAGGGCAATGGTGAGCTCAGTGGGGCAGCGAGCTAGGAAGTGGTCCCTGACTGAGCGCAGAGTGTCAGGGAGGCGGGTGACTAGGTGGTAGAGAGTGAGCCAAAGTGGGGGTGGGTTCTTGGCAAGGAACTCATCAGGCATGGCGGCGCGGAAGCGAGCCTCACTAGTGCGGAGGTGCGTAATGAGGTCATCGACTGTGTGGAAAGAGGCTAAGTCGGGGAACATGTAGGGAAGAGAGAGACGGCCTAGTGCGGCAGAGGCCGGTGAGGAGTAGCGGGCAACGACAGCAGTGTACATTGCCTGCGCAGTCTTGTGCTGCCCAAAGTGCGCACGCTCATCTATCGGCAGGGAGTTGCGAATAGCGAAGCGAGCGTGGGCGTCACGAGTCTGCCACTGTGAGCGGGCAGTGCTGTCAGCAGTAGCAGCAGGAGCAGGAGCATGGCCTAGGGCGTGATCGTACAGTGAGATGTCCTCCTTGGCAGCGAGCTATAGGAAGAGGTGTAGGTCATCTAGCCAGGTTTCGAACTTCACTGGGCGGCCCTCAGCATCGAAAGCTAGCACTGGAGGGCTAGCCATAGCAGTAGTAGGAGTAATAGCAGTAGGGGCACCCCAAAAACAGTAGGCAGTGCGACTCAGGTAGGGCGGCTCGGTCCAGTACGGGCGGCGCGGCTCGGTTCAGGTAGGGCGGCGCGGCTCGGGAAGGGCGGCGCGGCTAGGTTCGGGCGGCGCGGCTCGGTTCGGGCTTGGCGGCTCGGTTCGGGCGGCACGGTTCGGGCTGGGCGGCTCGGTTCGGGCTGCTCGGGTCGGGCGGCTCGTTCTGGGGGGGCCGTTCAGGGCCTCTAGGGGCGAGCGCGGGGCCGTAAGGGGCCGCTAAGGGCGAGCGCGGGGCCGATCGGGGCCTCTAGGGGCGAGCGCTGGGCCGTAAGGGGCCGCTAAGGGCGAGCGCGGGGCCGTTCGGGGCCTCTAGGGGCGAGTGCGGGGCCGTAAGGGGCCACTAAGGGCGAGCGCGGGGCCGTTCGGGGCCTCTAGGGGCGAGCGCGGGGCCGTAAGGGGTCGCTAAGGGCGAGCGCGGGGCCGTAAGGGGCGAGCGCGTGGGCCGACGGGGCCTTAAGGGGCGGCGCGCGAGTTGCTAAGGGGCGGGTCGCGGGTCGCGGGTCCTTAGGGGGCCGTGAAAAACGAGGCGCCCTAGGGCGCAGTTAGGTAGGTAGGTAGGTAGGTAGTGGTGGGCCCTAAAAAAACGGTCCTAGCGAAGGACCTGCTCTATACCATGTTGAAAGGAACGAACAGGAATGATTGAACTAACAGTGAAATCAGTACAAGTACCTAACCCTAGAATTGTGTACCCCCTATAGGCTAACCAACTGTAGCCTAAACAAGCACAACATATATAATGTTTGACAGCAACGTGCGAAAGTGGCGGGCGGATTGTCGATGCGAGGATTGCGAGTGGTAACGGTGCTGATTGTGGTGCTACAGTGATGTATGCGTTGAGTAGGGACGCGAAGTAAGGAAAAAAATATTTTCCTTACACTGAGCCTAACATGGTTCGGTTTGAATGAAGGTATGGAGTCCATTCAAATATGGTTGGGTGAGATGTTTTGCGGGTAAGGGTGGTTTCTGTGCTCGAACTTCCATCGCAACACGGTGCTGGTGTTTGGTGTTCATAAGTTGACTAGAAGTGACTGAGAGGTACTGCGCGTTTCCGATGGATCTGAGACAGTTTCTAGACGGTTGGGTCAGCTTTTAGCGACGAACAAATTTTGAAGTGGTGACCACTTCTTTCCCAGACTCCCACCTATCCCGTCAGTTATATCAATTTACCAGAAAAAATATACGTACTAGCACCATGCCAACAACATTCCAGAGTGCAGAAGTTGCAACTATTTACAAACCGAGCGTATTCTAAACGTGAATGCATCCTTGCTGACATCCTCACCTCAAACTTCAAGTCGGCAGACAGCAACAACTCCACGCCCAGCATTGTTTTGTCACCCTAGATTGCGGATGGAAGTGTGCTAGTTGCGATGCGACTCGCAACCCGTTGCTCAATTCATTAGTTTCGCATCGACAGAAAGCGCACGGACGGACCATGCCGCTTGCTTAGTTGACCATGTGACGGCTACTCCCTCGTTTACCGTCATTGCTTGCAGCCGCATGTCCACTTCTTCCACATTCGTTCGCAGGCTCCACGCTCCTGCCTGCTGCTGATCTATTTCAAGAACGTTTGGTTCTCGTAATCTGTTTGTCAAATACTTTTAACGACGAATTATCAGGTTCAGCGCTCGAGAGCACTTTCCTGTGTGACCCACGTTAAGCTACCCTTCTCGACTCCGCTCTTAGCGCAGGGCGGAATTATTTCTTCAAGGCGCCTAGGAACAAAAAAAAAAAAAAAAAAAAAAAAAAAATCTCTATCTCAGCGCAGCGCGGAATCTGCATGCGTGACGGCAATGGGGTGGTCAGTCCTAGCATCGGTAGCAACCGCGGTGGCGATAGTATCTCTGACATACCTTTACAGTGGGGTCGACGCTGATTCAGGTGCGCTGAGCATGGATAGAAAGCTAGAACGCGATTCTTCCAGCCGCCTCCCCCTCTTCCTTCGCCTCTCTTGCCCCAAGACCTCGCTTCCTCCAGTCCCCCTTTTCCCCAAGGCTGGCGTCCTCTCACTCCTCTCTCCCCTCCCTCATTCCCCCCTGCCCTCTCTTTCCCATACCCCGCGTCCCTTTTTCCTCACCCTCCCGGTCTCCCGCCCACTTCCCGCCTCCTTTCCCTTCCTCCTTCCTCCCCCTCCCCCCCAGTCCCCCGCAAGTGGTCCACCCCCACGCCACAACCCCCCCGCGACGCTCCCCATGCCGCCGTCCCGCCGCCATACACGGCCTCGTCAGTCACGGGCGCAGTAATACAGATGGACGCATCACATCACCTATCAGACGGCTCTACCACCAATAGCAACCTCCTAGCCGTTGATATCAAGGGCCAGGGCCCCGTGCCTTTCAGCGTGGCTCGGTGGAACCCGGGGGACCTGTCGCCGAGGCTCGGGCCGAGGCGGCCGTACTCGCAGCCGAACCTGGCGATTCTGATGGAGATGCGCGGGTTTGACACGGATGACCCGGAGAATGCTGCCGTGCAGGTGGGTGGGGGAAAGGGGGAAGGGATGGGGGAGGGAAGGGGAGATGGTGGAGGGTGGGGAGTAGATTGGGTGGGCGACTGGGTAATTGGAAAGGGACGAACGGAGGGAGGTTAGAGGAGGGAGGGATAAGGCAGGTGGTGGGGAGGCAGGCCAGGGGAGGAGAGGGATGAGCGGATGCAAGGGGTTGGCTGATGTGGGGATGCCAAGAGATGCTGGGCAATGGTAGGAGGGGGCTGCAAGAGTGAATGGTGTTGCTGCCAACAACTCCAGTCATGATGTTACGCTTGCTTCTGGTGCTCCTGCTCTTGCTCCCAGTGCTCCTGCTCCTGTTCCCACTCCTGTTCCCACTCCTGTTCCCACTCCTGTTCCCACTACTGTTCCCACTCCTGTTCCCACTCCTGCTCCCACTCCTGTTCCCACTCCTGTTCCCACTCCTGTTCCCACTCCTGTTCCCACTCCTGTTCCCACTCCTGTTCCCACTCCTGTTCCCACTCCTGTTCCCACTCCTGCTCCCACTCCTGCTCCCACTCCTGCTTCCACTCCTGCTCCCGCTCCTGCTCCTCCTCCTCCCTCCCGCTGCCGCCCCTATTGCTGCCCTTGCTGGGTACAGGCGTGGAGTCCGAGCATCAACATGGGCGTGATGATGGCGAGTGTGGCGCTGAATGGGCAGCAGTGGAACAGGTCCAAGCCCGTATTCTACGGCACAGTGGTGAGATGGGCTGGGCGGCGGCACCGTGGTGAGATAGGCTGGACTGTGTCATTGGGTGGAGATGGGCTGGGCTGTGCTATGTCTCTATGGTGAGATGTGGGCTGAGTTGTGCAACCGTGGTGATGGGGGATGAGGTGCGGTGCGATGAGTTAAGATGAAAGCTTGGGCAACTAAGCGCATACACCACACCACCATGTTGTCATTACATACAGAGAGTTAATGCATCACATGACTTTGAGTTTATACAAACATCGCATGACTTTGAGTTAGCAACACGAACGTCACATGCTACACCACCCCTGATTAACTACTTTTTCTGTGTGCTACGGTGATGCTGTCCCTGTGCTGTCCCTGTGCTGTCCCTGTGCTGTCCTGTACTTTTCATATGCTGGCAAACAGGCATGTGCCACGTCATCAAGGGCCTATGGTTACAAGTACGTTACTTTCCGTTCCCATGTTGCCTTGCCTTGCACCAACAATGGTTTTCCCCGTCAATGCCTTGACCCTTTCAATCTCCTCCTATCCGTGCCCCATCTCCGCCTCACCTCCTCCCCATCTCCTCCCCATCTCCTCCCCATCTCCTCCCCATCTCGTCTCCATGTCCTCCCCTCCCCACCTCCTCCGCATCTCCCATGCGTGCAGCATGGATGATGGGACGTTCACCAACAAGGAGCCAAATCTCGACAGTGAGTAGTAGTACTCCTCTGAGCACCCATGCTCTCTCACATGCCATGACATCCTCTCACTCACATCCCATGCTCTCAGTCACATGCCATCCTTTCACATGTCCTTCTGCCGCTCTCCCTTAACCTCCCATTACCGCACCCTGTCACACCCTCTCATCACAAGACTTCTCCCATGTCCTTCTGTCGCCCTCCTCTCTCCCTCTCTACCTGTTTGTATAGGCGACTCCATGATCTCCTCTCTCACTCCCTCCTCATTTCCTGTCCCCTTGTACCCTCTCTCTCATCCGCCTCTCCGCCTCCCATTGTCAAATGCAGTCACAGTAGGGCAAGCGGGAGCAGAGGAGGAGGGAAGCATCGACGTGGCCATTGCATGGTTCCCCTACTATCAAGGTCAGTGGTGTTTTCTTGCTCTGTTTGTCGAGATTGTTTTGGGTAAGCTTGTCTTTGCCCTATCACCACCTATCATCAATTTATCTCCCCCTTCCCTCCCTCCCTCCTCCAGGCTGGATCGGTGGGTATCTGAACGTCCGCGACCCACCAGCGCTTACCGCCCTGCATCTCGCTCCTCCTAAGCCAGCTGGGGTTCTTGCTCCTCGGCCCTGCTTGCTGACGCCAACGAGGGGTCCTTACCCCCCCCTTCCCCTACCTCCTCCCCATTCAGGCTGTATCGGTGGCTATCTGAACACATCCGACCCACCAGCATACCGCCCTTCGTCTCGCTCCTCCTGGGCCAGCTGGGGCTCCTTCTCCCTTTGCCCTGCCCGCTGATGCCAACCAGGTCCTTTACCCGCTCCCGCCCTTTCCCCTCCCTCTCTCTCCTCCAGGCTGTATCGGTGGCTATCTGAACGCCCCCGGCCCACCAGCATACCGCCCCTAGTCTCGCTCCTCCTGGGCCAGCTGGGGCTCCTTCTCCTCTGCCTGCTGATGCCAACCAGGTCCTGTCCCCTTCTCCCCCCTCCCTCCCCTCCAGGCTGGATTGGTGGTTATCTGAACTCACCAGACCCACCTGCATACCGCCCTTCGTCTCGCTCCTCCTGGGCCAGCTGGGGCTCCTTCTCCTCCGCCCTGCCCACCGATGCCAACAAGGTTCCTTCCCCCCCTTCTCTCTCTCCTCCAGGCTGGATCGGCGGCTATCTGAATGCACCAGACCCACCAGCGTACCGCCCCTCGTCTCGCTCCTCCTGGACCAGCTGGGGTTCTTTCTCCTCCGCCCTGCCTGCTGATGCCAACGAGGTGCTGTCATGGCAGCACATGGGCGCCACTCTGCGCCTGCCACACACGCATCCATCCCAGGGGATGCTCTTCCTGCTCAAGTGAGTGGCGTTCAGGCTGGCCTTTCCTCCTCTGTGCTTCAATCAAGTGTTGGTGCCTGTCGAGCCTGCCACACGCACACCCGTCCCAGGGGATGCTCTTCCTGCTCAAGTGAGTGGCGCAGGCCCATTCTCCTTTTTGCCCTCCTGCTCATGCTTTCCTCTGACTGTGTCGTCCATCCGTGTTCCCGCCGCTGACAAGTTTCTTCCTACCTCTTGCTGCTCCCGCCCCGCTGTGCCCCCCTTGCAGCTCCTATTCCGGCCCGGAGAACAATGACCTCAACATAATGAGCACTTATCCCACCTCAGAGTGAGCCTATTATTATTATTATTATTGTTGTTATTATTATTATTGTTATCATTATTTCTATTGCTATCATTATTGTTGTCATTGTTATTATTATTATCATTATAATTAATATTATTATTATTATTCAAGGTTTTTTACAAGAGACTTCTGAGATTGGTTCAGGCGCTCCAGATTTTCATTCTGTTTTTTTTTGTGCCTCGAAATGAGTCCTTATGAAACGTTTTCCACTACCCTATGAGCTAAATTGTATGAGCACATACACCACTCTTCTTCCCCTCTTTCCCTCCCACTTGCTCTCCTGCCTGCCAGTGGCGCATGGTGGGTGCAGGTGCGCAAGGACAGCACAGACAGTGCAGATGATCTAGCGCCGCCTTCTCAGGCCTCCTTTGCATTCGTCTACATCCCTTACAATGCTGCCGGGTGCGTGTTGAGAGAGGGGGTGGAGGGGGGGGGGGGGTATTGCTGAAAGTATCTGAGGCGCCTCAAAAGTCCTTTGCGTCTGTCCACATCCGTTACAATGCTGCCGGGGTGCGTGTTGAGAAGGGTATTGTTCTGAGTGTCGACTCAAGCATCGTTCCGTCCAAATTCTTTGCATGGTTGCATGTTTGTTTCCATGCTTGTTAACAACAGGTTCGTGCTTGTTAAGCTGATGCTTTCATGGTTACCACCCATCAGCTCAAACCCATTCTCATGCACATTCTCTTACCTCCTCCCCCTCCTCGCCTTGCGTTTTGCCCCTCCATTGTTCCTGCCCAGCCTAATCGGAGCCCACATAGAGGGCAGGTCCGGCACACCAATCATAGGCGTGGGACAGTTCCGAAGCTGGAGGTTAGGCCCGGGGCGATACGAGCTGCACGTGGTGCCCATGGGACGGCACTATGCCGAAGCAGAGCCTATCACACACAAGTGAGAGCATAACCTCGTCTTGTCTCGTCTTGTCTCGTCTTGTCTCGTCTTCTCTTCTCTTCTCTTCTCTTCTCTTCTCTTCTCTTCTCTTCTCTTCTCCCTCCTTGACTCGTTTCTCCTCCTCTCTCATCCCCTCGTCTCTCCTCTTCTCGCCTCGTTTCAACCCTTATCTCTTCTTCAATCCAAAACAGCCTGCCATTCACCTTCTGTTTTCAGGGCCGTTCTTCCCAATGCCAAACCATGATGTATTAAATTACCACCCGCATCCTTGCCAATCCTCTTGCACACACACACACCGTGGCACTTAGCACATCAAGTTACCAGCACATCAGAATATAGGTACTTCTTACACATAACGGAACCTGTGCAGGTGTCTGCTCCCTCGCCGCATTCCTCCTCGCTTTTCTTCGCCGCGCCACTCCCTCCTCTCCTCTCCTCCCCGTCTGTCCTCCATCCATGCAGGGACGGAGCGCTGCTGCTGCAGGTGATGAGCCACGACACAGCCAACCACGAGCACGCACAGCACGCCTTCCTCTCCTACGACATTGCTGCTAACGGATCCATCTATGTGGAGGCACGGAGCATGCGCAAGGGGGGCAACGGTGAGGAGTTGTTCTACCTTGTCGACACAGGTATGGGCAAAAATGACGTGCTGATGGCTGGAATACTGATTGTTGCCGTACTGGTAACAACTACTTGATGACCAAACTCTGCACGGGCTACACATCCCTCAACTACTTGTTGTCCTTTTCTTGTACTGGCTTCCTCCGGCCGTTTCTTCTCTCACACTTCTCTCGTATTTATCGTCTCTCAAGCTCGGCCTTTTCATTTTTCACTGGAGCCTTGTTTCTTTTTTCCGTGTAGCATTTCCGATTCTGCCTCGTCTTGCCCACCCGTCCCACCTGCAGACTTCGCATTTGCATGGATTGATTTTCGCAACCCCATCACACCGAACCCACTCACCTTCACAGGTCAGCAACAGGTTGCATGTTTTCGATTCCACCTGTTGTTCCCCCTTCCCGTCTAACCACCTTCACCCTGACTCCCCTTTCCGTTTCCTCACAGCCCCCGCCACCCCCTCTTTTATTATTTGTTATGGATTTCGTTTCCTGAATCCGCCCTCCTGAATCCGCCAGTGAGAATCCGCCCACCTTTCCCTGAATCCGCCCTCCTGTGGGTCTGCCCTCTCCTAAACCCGTGTTCTTCTGGTACACCCTCCCCTCTCTCTCTCCCTCGTCAGGCCGCCTACCCCAGATGATCCAGGAGACAGACTTCTGGAGCGGTCTCTTTGTCACTGTCTTCGTCTACTCGCTGCTCCTCCTCGCGGGCGGCCTCTATCTCCTCTACACCACCCGCCTGCGCCGCACTGCTGCGCTAGCCTTTGAGCGGCTCAGCACGACCGACTCCCTCCCCTCGCACTTCCCCCTTGGGGAAACGGCTAGTGAAACTCGGCGTGGGCTCGCTGGGAGTGCTGGTGGTGCCAGGGAAGGGGTAGATTCTAGTGAAGATGATAGCATCACAGGGGCTTTGCTGGGCGGGCAGGAGCAGCAGCAGCAGCAGCAGCAGCAGCAGGAGCATGGGGGTGGGGCCTCTCAGCCGCTGTCGCCTCTGCTGGAGTTGGATGAGGATGATAGTGCGGAAGAGAGAGAGCAGGGGAAAACGGGCAGTGGAGCAACATCCGCTGCTATGGCTCCTGCTCCTTCTGCGGCTGGCAGCGCTAAGGGGACAAACTAGACCTGAAAGGTTTCTGACTGCTGTAGAAAGTAAGCATGGGATACAGTGGGAATACACTGAACCTTGTCAGGCGTTTTATCCAGAAAGTGGGTTAATTTGGTGGCTACATGTGCAATTAACCTTTTGCATACACGCAAGATATGATGAATGGTCGGTCGAGAGTCTTAGATCCTTGTTGCCCCAACATTCAGCACACATCAATGCTGCCTGTTCTAGATCTCGCAAAACAGTTTTATGTACGGAATGTTAATCCAAGTTGTTGAGGGGAGACTGTACGAATGCATTACTTTGTCCGGTATAACGCCATGTCCATAACGGAGGTTAGAGGGCACCCGCCAAAAATGGTGTTCGCGCCCTGAGTCGACTGACAGCAACCGCCTCTGACACCCATTCCGAATCCGCGCTATGAATGTAGCTCCACTTCGCTCCCACAATCACAACTCTTCCATAACTGGACGGTCGCAACAATCTGAGACTCATTTATTTCCAAACTGTTCCTAGAGATCATCAGCATTCGAACCTTCGGATATTGCGAGGCTTTTTGTCGTCCCACAAGATCACCATGCCGGAACTGTTTCTGGCCGCTCATCTCAGGTCGTATCCCTGCCTAGTGTCAAGAAGTTGGTGTCAAGAAGTTTGCGCATGCGATTGGTTAAAAAAACGATTGACCAATCGCATTGGCCAGAAATTTGTTCTGGACCAATAGGGTGCGAGCACTTCTTGACACTAACTTCTTGACACTAGGCAGGGATACGACCTCATCCCATCTCACCTCATCTCCCGCCTTCTCAGTAGTGCTATCTGATCAATGCCCAGCCAGTATCCAGGTTCCAGCCTCCACTCTATGGTCCAGAATGTCGTTGAGCAACGACACGGCAACATGCCACATTAGGGCTTAGCTGTTGGCGCAAGAGACATAGCGCGTCGTGTGTTTTGGAATTCGTCCCATCGAGACAGATCCTTCTGATCTGCCTCTGAAGCTTACGCTTCCACAAGCCAGTTTGATGCAGGCTCGTTGCAAAGCCTGGTGAGTGAATTTGAAGGCCAAAATACCAGTTGCTGATTACGACCGTAGATTTACATACCTTGCTGAGGAACTTCAGAACTTAGATTCGCTGTCATTGCCCTCCAAGAGTTACGTAGCCGGCCGCTTCGTTAGCCACTCCTTTTGCCGGTCTGAGAGCCATTCCTCTCTTGCCGTTTGCATCAGTTTCGATCACTGTACCATTTGAACCCTCTGGTGCTGAAACCCTTTTCATTCTTGACGTTCCCCGAGAGAATCATTTCCGTGGTTCATCTTTTACCTTTTCCAATATAACTAGCTTCTTACAGTCTGCCTGGTAGGAGTCCGATTTGAATCCATTGTTTTAGCCAGCCTTTATCAGCAATTTGGTCACGTGTTGGCCAAAGGTATCCAATAATCCCGGAATCAGGCGTTCTTAGAGCCGAGGCGCGTTACCAGCCCACCTTTCGGCTCAAGAAGCGTCAGAGAACAAGGGAAACACCAGGCTTGTCACCAACATTGTCAGCAGAAGTAGCAGCCGTATCATCACCAGTGGCAGCAGCCGCCGAGTCAAGCAATCGCGTTAGGAACATCCGCAAGCATTCAAAGGCAGTGTTGCAGTGCCACCGTTTGCCGTATTTTTGGTGGAGGGATAGTTTTACCCAGAAGCATATTACATATCTCGTCGGTGACACGTCGCTCGCCGACGTCCCTGCTCGTCGCATCACCACCACACGCCACCTTCTCAGCTTCCGTCGCTCTCCGTCGCGTTCCGTCACATTCCGTCGAATTCCCGTCGCATCTGTTAAGATATGGCGGCTCCGGAAGCGGCGGGCGACACGACGGCGACGCTGCTGCGGGTGCTGGAGGCCCTATACCAGACGACGGACCGATCCACGCGGCGAGAGGCCAGCAAATGGCTCGAGGCGTTTCAGCAGAGCATGGACGCGTGGCAGGTGAGGGGGTTAAGGGCAGCGAGGGAGCGTGGGGGCGATATTCTGTAATACTAACAAATGTTCCATGGGTTCGTTTCACCAGAGTATGGAGGCTTGATAAGTGGGGAAGGGGGGGGGGGGGGGGGGGGGGGGTGGCAGCGAGAGAAACGGGGGGGAGTAGGGGAGCGCCCTCCCGATTTTCCCTTTCTCACATTCTGCCGCTCACAACTATTGTAGTGCAGCTGTTGCACCGAATTTGCACCCTTCCGTTTTGCCACTCCGTTTCTCTTGCAACGGAATTACACCTCCTGCCCCCTCATCTCCTCGTCCTTACTCCCCTGTCCCCTTCCCCACTTCCGCACCTCCGTCCACTTCCTCCCTTTTTCTCCGTTCCTCATTTCTTGCAATTTCCGCTCTCCTGGCGCCAAACGCTGCGCAGATATCAGACCGGCTGCTGCACGATGAGAGCAGCAGCATGGAGGTCAGATACTTCTGCGCACAGACTCTGCGAACCAAGGTCAGTCTGGAAGATATATCTCGTTGAGGATATTTCACTCTCTCTCAAGCAGTCCTTTATTGAAATTGGGATGGTGATTTAAGGCACCCGCCAGCTTCCTTGAGACACTAGTCTAGAACAAATCAGCATCTAGCTGTTAGAACCTAGCTGCTGGCTTCCCTTTCCTGGATGAACAGACGACTTCTGAGGCGCCTCAAATGTAGTGTGTCTGTTTCCCACTGCTTCCATGTGTCAGGTTCAAAGAGACTTTGAGGAGCTCCCTCAAGGTTCAACGCCTTCCTTGCGTGCCTCACTCCTTGTACGCTCTTTTCCTGCACCTTAAGAATATTCTTGCTGGTTTGGTCTTTTCATCCCAGTTTCCCCACTGTCGATTACCTGTCCCTCTTGTTTGGTCCCCGACCATCTCGTCTCATCTCCCTAGCCAATGTTCACCCTACCTGCCTCCCTCATTTGGCGACGTATGCTGAGCATCTTTCATCTCCCCACTCTCTCGCTCACCATCACACATATGAAGTCGCTCTGTAAACCCTCTTACCCATCTCCTCCGTTGCTACAGGGGCTTCTAGCCAAGTTCAGAAACGGGCCAGCCGCAGTGCGCACTCAGGTACTGTTGCCGCCTGCCATGCCTTGAACTGGCTCTGACACACGGTGAAACGCGCACACACCAAAGCCGCACACACAGGCACAGAAAGGGGCACACGGGCATGCATGCTGGGTGCTCTATACCCTTTGGAGAGCCAATTCATGCCTGCACTATACCCCCCTGTGTGGTGGCCCATGCGCCGGCCGCCTGCAATACCTGCTCCTTCCTCGCTTAGAATGTTCCATGTTACTACACCCGCTCCTCTCCATTATTTCTTCTCATCCCTACATCCTCTCTCTTGCTCTCTCCTTCTCCCGCGAACCCGTGGCCACAACCCCAGCTGTGTCTGGCGATTGCGGCGCTAGCAGCGCACACGCCAGCAGGAGAGTGGGGGGAAGGAGGCGTGGTGTACTGGCTGCGGCAGCAGCTGGCAGCACAGCCGGAATCTGCTCCTGCTTTGCTGGAACTACTGACTGTAGTCGTGCAGGTTAGAGAAAGGAGGGAGGAAGGGGAGGGGGGAGAGGGGTGGCAGATAGAATGGTGATTGATTGATCATAGGGTGAAATGGAAAGCCAGCGGAATAGCCTGAATTTGTCCCTGCTTTGGTGGAACTACTGACTGTGGTTGTACAGGTTAGCAAGAGTAGGGAGAGGTGGGCGGAGACAGGGGTCACTCTGAGAACTCGCGAAAGTGGTAGGGGGACTGGAAAGTTGAGATCCGCACTTTCTACTGCCTCCATCCATCCCTCCCAATGCTCGTCTCTGCCGTTCTCCCCTTATCACACCCTCATTCTGTCAGCCCTCATTCCCCCTCTCCTTGCACTCCCTGCCCTCGATTCTCCCCTCCTCTCCCTGCCGTCCTCTCTCGTCATCGCCTCTGTCAGGAGGTGGGAGCGCACAAGCTGGCAGTGCGGCTGGAGAGGAGGAGGCGGTTCTCAGCAGAGCTGGTGACGTCTGCACCGGACGTCCTCACCCCCCTCTCCCTGCTCTCCCTCCTCTCCCTCCTCTCCCTCCTTTCTTTGCCGTCCTCTCTCATCATCGCCTCTGTCAGGAGGTGGGAGCGCACAAGCTGGCAGTGCGGCCGGAGAGGCGGAGGCAGTTCTCAGCAGAGCTGGTGGCATGTGCACCGGACGTCCTCACCCTCCTCGCTGCCTGCCATGCCGCGCACCCCTCTGATCCCGCCACTATTGAGGCAGTGCGTTCTCTCCCTGTCTCTCACTATGTTCCTCCTACAACCACACACACACACACACACGCATGCACACACACACACACCCTCCTTTCACCCAACCCCACTCACATGTACGTTCCAACGCACTGATATGCACGCATGTACATACGTGTAACAGCACCCGTTTATTCACACATTCACTTGTCACTGATATCACTGTGTCGACTCCTAACGCTCACCTTTGTCCACCCCTGTCGACACCAAACCCCTTTACCCTCGTCCCCCCCTTTCCCGTCCATCATCCTTCTCCCAAACACCTACTGGACATTGCTCCCTGTACTTCCCTGCATGGCTTCTCTCTCCAGGCACTACATGCGTTCACGGCCTGGCTGCGCTTCAGCAACGGGTTAGTGTGCTCAGGCACCCTCCCACCACACCCCTGCCTCTCAGCCCATCCCTGTGCTTCCCTGCCCTGTTCTGTCCTGCCTACACCCTTCTTCGCGCCCTCACTTTCCTCATTGCGTATTGTTCTTCAACTTCCTCGTCATCCACCTGTCTATCCTCACCCAATCTCCTGCCTGGCATCCGAATCTCTTTGGCGCGTTGGCTTTCGCAGTCTCCTTGCCGTCCCCACTGGCTTTCCCAACGCTCTCTGTTCCCATGTCACCCACCAAGCTGCCGCTTCCCCTCTAATGCCCCAGTCATTCATTCTTGCAGCTGCGATAAAGGCTGTTCTAACTCAACTGCAGACCAAGTACCACTTCAGTCTGGTCGATAAAAATTCCTGTCCATAATAGCCTTCTCAGAACCTAACCCCTCCACACCGCTCCACACCCCCCAACGCTGCACCCCCACCTCTCTCCCACGTGCCTCAGTCTATCTGCTGCGACTCTCATGGCGCATCCACTCGTTCCTGTTGCCTTGGAGGGCTTGCAATCCGCAGACATGTTTGAGCCGTCAGTTGAAGGTAGGCCAGTTGAAAGGTGTGCAGTGCATTCACTCTCACCGGGTGCCTCAGCAGCTGGCCAGTTCATTGTCTGTGTGAGAATGAATTGTTGTCCAATTCATGTATGCACACTGTTTTGAGATGCGTGGCAGCTCCCGAACAGTTCCCTCTCTTCCTTGTAATTCTTTTCTAGTGTGCTGAAACTGCTCTGCTCTCTCACTTCCCCCACTGCCCCCGCTCCCCCATCCCCCCAGCCGTGTGTGAGCTGATCCGCTTCTCAGTCTCTGGCGGTCCGGCGGCATTGGCAGCGAACATGCAGCTGGTGCAGCTGATAGTGCCGCGCATCATGGCGCTGCTGCCACGCTTCTCTGCTGCGCTCAAAGTGGTGCAGGCGCATCAGCAGGGGCAGACAGACGCGGAGCCAGAGGAGGTGAGTGGGGGGCCCTGGGCTGGGCTGGGCTGGGCGGGGGCTAGAAGGATTTTTTTTTTTCCGTTAGCAGAGGAAACGCGAGTAGAGTGACAACGAGTGCTCAAAGTGGTGCAGGCGCATCAGCAGGGGCAGACAGACGCGGAGCCAGAGGTGGTGAGGAGGAGGGGTGGGGCTGGGCAGGGCTGAGGCCAGAAGCAAGGAAGGGATTGGGCTGGGCTGGGCTGGGTTGGGCTGGGCTGGGTAGAGATGCTTAGCAGAGGTAATGCGAGTCGAGCGGCAACAAGTGCTCTCAACTCAAAGTGCCACACACTCACGCCTTTGTGCTTCTCCCTCCCGTTTGTGCATGCTCCATCCCCCAGGACGAGGACACGATGAAGGCCATGGCGCGACTGTTTGCAGAAATCGGCGAGGCATATGTGGACCTGATTGCCAGCGGTGAGAGAGGGAGCTATTGAGAGTGACTTTTGAGTCGACTCAAAAGTCAACTCAGCGGTGAGAGAGGGAGCTATTGAGAGTGACTTTTCTAGAATATGGCTTGGAGGCCCCTTTCAAGGCGCGGCACGACTGTTTGCAGAGATTGGCGAGACGTATGTGGACCTCATTGCCAGCAGTGAGAGAGAGGATACTGTCGAATGGGTAGTTAGCTGTTGCTAGTGGTGAGAGAGGCATTGCCAGCAGTGAAAAAGGCATTACCAGTGGTGAGAGAGGCATTGCGAGTGGTGAGAGAGGCATTGCGAGTGGTGAGAGAGACATTGCTAGTGGTGGCGGCGGCAGTACAGCCCATTGCGAGCGGTGAGAGCACAGCTTATTCCCATCATTGAATGAGAGAGTCTTGGCAGAGCGCAGCAGGCAGGCGGGATAGGTTGCGGATTCTGCCAGCACCGGGGTTCGGGGCATTCTGGGCTTATTGCTCAAGGTACAGCTGCTGGATTGAACAGAGATGGGTTTAAGGAAAGGGAGGAAGGATGCAGTTATGGTCGGATATGCAGGTGCCACTTGCTGTTGCTGGGGGAGTGGCCTGTGTTTTCTCCTGAGCTGGCTTCATGCCTTATTCTTTGCCCCACAGGTGTCCTCCGTTTTTTTTTTTTTTTTTTTCACAATCCCTACACCCTCCTCTCCTCTGCCTTGGCATCTGTGTGCTATGTGTGTGTGAGTGTGTGTGTTTGTGCATGTGCTGTTTGTGTGGTGGCCTTGGCTCCACTAACATCAGGCTCCCCTGAGTCGATGATGATAGCAGAGGCGCTGGTGCAAGTGACATCGCACCCCGACTTCGACATCGCATCCACCACCTTCAACTTCTGGCATGCGCTCGGCTCACACCTCACCACACGGTACGTACCTCACCTCACGCGCTACTGTTGTGAGATGACTCTATTTTTGAGGCGCCTCAGAGATAGCAGGAGCGCTGGTGCAAGTGACGCCGCACCCAAACTTTGACATTGCATCCACCACCTTCAACTTCTGGCATGCGCTCGGCTCACACCTCACCACACGGTTGGTACCTCTCTCTCCTCGCGCTCTATTCCTGCGAAGTAACTCTACCTCGCACCCTTTCGCCTGCACGCCCTGTTCTGCCCTTGCTCACCTTGTATGACAGGCCGCAGCATGAGGAGAAAAAGGCATTGTATGCAGCATTGAGGCACCTCATGTTTATCCCCCACTGCTGCCTGATCCCTTCATGTTGCATGCACGGCAGGCCGCGGCATGAGGAGAATGTGGCGTCAGATGCAGCACTGAGGCACCTCATGTCTATCCCCCACTGCCGTCTGTCCTCTGTGCTGCTCTTGTTGCATTGCACACACGTGGCATGGCAGGCCGCGGCATGAGGAGAATGTGGCGTCAGATGCAGCAGCGCATGCAGAGAGGGAGAGGCGGCTCGCGCTCTTCAAGCCCATCTTTGAACTCCTTGTATCCCTGGTGCGTCTTGCTATGCCACGTGCTGCTGTGCTGCTGTGCTGATCTGTCCCCTCTCATGCACTCGTCCATCCATGATCCATCATTCGTTCATTCTTTATCCGATTCTCCGCTCCTCCCCTTCCCCATTCTCCAGGTGAGCTTCAGAGTGCGGTACCCCCCTGGCCACGAGAACTGGCGCAGTGACGAGAAGGCAGACTTTAAGCAAACACGCTACGGTCAGTGCAGTGCAGTGCGGTGTGGTGCGGTTCATTCCAACACTGTGCAGCTCGTCGAATTGCACTGCGGTGCTGTGCAGTCCAGCGCAGCACATGATTTATTTGCATATTCCAAATACCCCACCCAATATGCTCACTGTCAAGCCGTCCGTCAACTGACTCAGTTCCTCTCTCCCGTTTGCCCCTCCTCTCTCACATCATCCCTGCAGCTGTGGCCGATGTGTTGACAGATGTTCTGTACGTGCTCGGGGGAGAGAGATTGCTACAGCTGCTCGCTCAACCTCTCTTCCAGGTGCCCACTCTGCAGCCCACGTATTTCTTGTGTTCTTGCTCTATCTTTTATTCTTTCCGAGTGTTTCATGTGTGGTGGTAGGTCAGATCCATAGCTGGTAAGCTGTATTTTCTGGCCCAGACCATGCCCATGGCTTTCTTTCCCTCAAGCCCATTTCTTTCCCCCCTCTGTTTTCCGTGCGTTGGCGTAACATGGGCATGGGCATGGGCATGGGTATGGGCATGGGCGGGTGCATTGCGAGGGGCATCAGATAGCAGAGGGAGCAGCACGGGGGCAGGAGTACGACTGGAGGGCCTTGGAGGCGTCGCTGTATTGCATCCGAGCCATTGCAGGCTCGCACCTCCTGCGAGAGCAAACCATCCTGCCGCAGGTGCGCCCCTCTCCAGAAGCCCCCCACCCCAGGTGCGCCCCTCCCCAGGTGCGCCCCACCCCAGGTGCGCCCCTCCCCAGGTGCGCCCCACCCCAGGTGCGCCCCTCTCCAGAAGCCCCCCACCCCAGGTGCGCCCCTCCCCAGGTGCGCCCCTCTTCAGAAGCCCCCCTCCCCAGGTGCGCCGCTCCCCAGGTGCGCCCCTCCCCAGGTCCGTTCCTCCGTAGATCCGCCCTCCCTCCTTGCGGCTCTCCTCCTGCATGGGCTTACTCTTCTTGGGGCGCTTCTAAACACTTCCTGAGATGGATTGCTAACCGGTCGCACCTCTTGCACGGGGAAACCTCTCCGAACGGATTGAGTCTGCTCCTCCCGTGTCACAGATTTAGATTTTTCTTGTGAGTTGAGAGTTGAGTAACTGACCTGAGGGGAGGCATGTCACTCGACCAACCACATCCTCGCTCCAGATCAGATCAACCCCCACGCATTTCCAACTAAACCTACCTTCGTTCGTGTCCCTTCTCCTGCCCGTCTACCATCCTTCTCCCCTCCCTCTCCCCGTCTGCGCCCCCTGCCGTGCGCTCTCTATCCCCACTGCCTACTTTGCCTGGCAGCTCATGGCTCTGCTACCCATGCTGCCCCCTCAGCCTCAGCTATTGTACACAGGTAAGCATGCTGCTATTTGTATTACGTGCATACCACAGGATTCCTATCCATATTCACATGCCCCATGCACGTAACGGCTACCCCATGCCCTGGGCATAGCAACTCGCCCCGCATCTAGTGCCATGCCATCGCTTTTAGTTATGTGACATCGACTTTCCATGGACGTTTCCCTCCTCCACCTTTCACCCCCTCTGATTTTCTGTCATCCCCTCTCACCGTCTCTGACCCCTCTCACCGCCTCTCAACCCGTCACATTCCCCTCCAGCATCTCTGACCATAGCCGCCTACTGTGACTGGATAGCCGCTGCTCCCAACGCGCCCTCCATGCTGCCTCCGCTGCTCACTCTCCTCACCAACGCGCTGGGAGCAGGCGAGGACGCCGCCCCTGCTGCAGCCCTCGCACTGAAGCACATCTGCGATGGTGAGTCGGTATTTCAGGCGACTCAAAGAGTGTCCTGAGTGAGTGTACCCTCCTTGCTGCGCCTGCTGCTCACTCACATTGTCGTGAGAGCTGGAGGAGAGGATGCCGCTTATTTTTAAGGCGCCTTTAAAATAGAACTCACCTAGTCGTGTGAGCTCGAGGAGAGGACGCCGCTTCTGCTGCTGCCCTCTGTTGCTGCCACTTCCGCTTCTGCACTGAAGAACATCTGTGATGGTGAGTCTCGTTCCGCTGGTGGACTGGCTGACTGGTTGACCCTGCTGATTGCATGGATATGTTTTCTCTCTACTGTTAAGGTTAACCCTTTCTCCCCATTGACCTAATCCTCTTCCCCGCTCCCCTCTCCCCACTCCTTGCCATTTCCACCACACCCTCCCTCCCCCCACCCCCCCGGTCTCTTGTTGCTTCCTCTCAGCGTCACGGCAGCACCTGCTGTCGTCGATCGACCCGCTGCTGCAGCTGTACAACCGAGTGATGGTGTCAGATGCTGCTCTTGCACTGCAGCCAGAGGACGAACTGCAGATCGTGGAAGCACTCAGGTACATTCGTGTTCTGAAGCTTCTCATGAACTAACTTTTATAAGAATCCCTAAAAGCCACCGTAGTCTTGCACTGCAGCCAGAAGACGAATTGCACTGCAGATCGTGGAAGCACTCAGGCATGCATGTCCTGCAGGGTAACCAGGCCCTTTGCCCCTCACTCACATCCCACGTCCTTCATTCTCATTACGTTGGTGGTGTCCACACCATCGTAACAATATTCTCTACCCTCTTCCCATCTTCCCCCAAACTCCCCAACCGCACGCGCATGCATCTCGCAGTGTGGTGGTGAGTGTGCTACCACCAGACCAGTGCCCCAAGGCAGTCTCCGCGCTGTTGCAGCCTCTCACTGCAGCACTTCAGGTGTGTGTGTGTGTGTGTTTGTGTGGTGCCCCTCATCATAGACAGAGTGTCTTGTGTGTGGTGGGATGGTTCTCGTTTCCTGCCTCTCCCTGGCACATGTTTCTTCTTGACCTATCCAGTATGTAGGAGGAAGGGACGTCTGTGAAGGGCGAGTCCGTCGTTTCGTCATGCCACACCCCGCTCGCCACGTGTGCTCCATCTTTTCTCTAAACTCCATTCCTTTTCTGTGCTCTGCTCTCTGCTCTGTGCTCTCTGTGTTTGGCAGCAAGTGGTGACAGCAGCAGCGCAGGCACCAGGAGGGCCTGCATCCATGCTAGCAGCGCAATATGTGGTGCATATAGACAGAATCGCCAACATCTTTAGGTCAGCGCAACTGCGGCCGCTGTCATTGTTTTAAGGTGCTCGTGTGGACTGTTGCTTCTCATCCCTTGCCGTGCTCTACTCTTGTTCTCTCCTCTCCTACTGTGCCAGCCTTTCTCTTTCTCCAGAACCACTTGCTTTCATTTCTCAACTGCCTCTCATCCTCTCTTCCTCTCATCCTCTCTTCTTCTGACGCAATCCGCTCCGCTCTCTTCACCCCACCACCCCCTCCCCTCCCTTGCCTTCCTCTCTGCAGATACGTCAGTCAGAACCAGCCTTTAGCAGACGCCTTTCAACAACTATGGCCTCTCTTCCAGGCTGTCTTCGCTCAGTAAGCCTTCCTGCCCCGCCTCTTCACCCTCGCTCTTTCTCTCTTGCACTTTCGCTTCGCTGCTGTGTGATACAAACTCTCTGTTGTGACGCCTGACTCTCTGTTTCCTCCACTAATGTGCATGTGTGTGCGTGATTGTGTCTGAGGTTATGCGTGCGATTGTGTGTGTGTCTGTGTGCTTGTGTATCTGTGTGTCTGTATGTCTGTGTGTTTGTGTGTCTGTATGTCTGTGTGTCTTATGTCTGTGTGTCTGTGTGTCTTTATGTCTGTGTGTCTGTGTGCTTGTGTGTCTGTGTCTCTGTGTCTCTGCAGAAAGCCCACAGACATGCGAGTCATGGAAAGGCTATGTCGAGCATGCAAATACGCGGTGCGTGTGCAAGGTTGGGATTGAGGGAAAGATAGGGGGAGAGGACGTGTTGGGAGGGGGGAATGGTGTATGTTTACGTGAGAGTGGGTGTGGGTTTGTGTAGGTTGAGTGGGTGCGTGTGTGTGTGCGTGCGCGCGCGCGCGTGTGTGCGTGTGTGCGTGTGTGCAACGTGTGATATGTGCTCCTTCATTCGTCATCTCCTCCTTCCCTTCTTCTCTCCCTCCCCTATCCTTGATCGTAGTGTCATTCGTCTTATCAGAAGGATCATCCCTGCGTCTCTTTGTGAATTTGTGCTTGCTTTCATTGCATTGCATTGCATTGCGTGCGTGCCAATGCGGGGTGCATTGCTTTTCCTCATCCATGTCTATCCGTGTATGTGTGTATGTGTGCACATGTTCGTGTGTGCATATGTGCATGTGCATGTGTGCATGCATGCTTGTGTGCAGATCCGGGGAGGGAAAACGGCCATGGCGCCAGTGCTAGCGCCTCTCCTGCAGGAGCTGCAGGTGCAATACGAGCAGCACCAGCAACCATGCCTGCTATACGTGGCCAGTGAAATCATCAAGGTACCTCACCTCATCTGCAGCTAACACCTCTCCTTCATCCAACCTGCAAAAAAACTTCCTCGGACTTGCCTTTCAAGGAAAGGAGACTTCCAGCAGTATAGATCACATCCCCATGCTCTTGGTTCAAGCGAATATGCTTCCAAAATGCAGTGCAGTGCATCTCGTGCTGGTTGAAGAGAGGCCTTATGCACTGTCCATGCAATGCAAGCAAGACCCCCTTGCCGGCTGCGTGCCTCTCATCATTTCCTTCCCTTTTCTTCCCCTGAAGCTCCACCCCACCCTCCACTCGTCCACTCGTCCACTCCTCCACTCCTCCACGCGTCCACCTCTCCACCTCTCCAACCCTCCACCACCTCACCTCCCATCAGGTGTTTGGTTCGGACGTAAACTGTGCAGCATACCTGCAGCAGCTCATCGCAGTGCTATTCGCCCGCACCACCGCGTCCCTGCAATCCCTTGACGTAAGCTTCTTGTGCGGCCCTTTAAAGCTCAATCTTTGCGGCTCCCTAAAGTTGTTTCTTAAATGCTTCTAGAAGGAAATGGAGTAGCCTCCTCTGCAATCGCTTGACGTCCGGAATCCATGTTCTACGGGCGATTTCCCTCTAAGCATGAGTCCGTGGTTGAGACTTGCTGGTGTGTTTTGAGTTGAGACTTGTCGAGTTATGTTGAGATTTGTCGAGTTATGTGCCATATTGTACACAGACAGGGGTGAGTGTGGACTGTGTTGCCGGTTGAAACCACCGTCCCACGCCAGATGCAGAAATCCTGAAATTCCTCGAAATCCTTCTATGCCAGACGTGGCCGTTGACTGCTTTTAACTGGCTCCCCTCACACACGTGCTGTCTTTCCTCACTACCTTCCATCACTGCAGGACTTCATGTTGAAACAAGACGCGGTGGACGACTGCTTTCTTCTCGCGTCGCGCTGCAAACTCTTTAAACCTAACGCCCTCTCCCACTTTCTCATGCCCTCTCTCACATGTGTGCTGCCTTCCTCACTGTCTTTTCACACTGCCTTCCATCACTGCAGGACTTCACATTGAAACCGGATGTGGCGGACGATTGCTTCCTCCTTGCATCGCGCTGCATGCGGTACTGCGGGCATCTGTTTGTGCCCACACCAGCCTTCCTTGCGGTGCTCGACAGTGCTCTCGCAGGCCTGCTCGTGCAGCACAGGTGCGGGCTTCCGTGTGTCTCTCCCTCTCTGGCAAAATTCTAGACGTTTCTAGAGTTACTTGTTCGTGCTTCGTGCCCACGCCAGCCTTCGTTGCTGTGCTCGACAGTGCTCTTGCAGGCCTTTTCGTGCAGCACAGGTGTGTGTTGTTGAGTCACTCTCTAGCCATTTTCGAGATGTCTGATATGAACATCCATGCCCATGCCCATGCCAGCCAGCATTCCTTGCTGCGCATGGCAGTCCCTTTGCCGGCCATGGTATCAGAGAGCTTACTGAGTCACTCTCTAAAACCCCAGCCTCCACACCCTTACCCGCCTTCCTCCTCGGCCCCTCCTCCCGCCGCCCATCCCCCACAGGGAGGCACCCGGTCGTCCCCGTCCTAGCCTCTACGCTTCCCAGCCACTGCATGCTCACACGCCCTCCTGCTCATCTCATCTCGTCTCACCTCATCCCCATCCGTCACTTGCAGGGAGGCGTGCAAGTCGGTTCTCAGTTTCCTCAAGGACGTGCTAGACTTCCCGTTCTCGGAGCGCGGCCGTCCCTTCCGCGCCAACATAGAGGCCGCCGTGGGCCCGCGTGGCCCCACTCTCTGCCGCCTGCTGCTCGCCGCTGCCACTGGCGGGCTGCCCGAGTCTCGCAATGATGAGGTGCGTGGATGGATGTAAGGTGGTCCTGGGGCGTTTCAAAACTCGGTTTTGAGACGTTTCAGGGGCCCACGCACTGCCGCCTGCTGCTCGCCGCTGCTACTGGCGGCCTGTGCGAGTCTGGCAATGGTGAGGAGCGTGGGGATACGGTGATTTTGAGATGTGTTAACCTTTTGAGACGCCTGAAAAGTCGAGGTTGAGGTGTCCCAAGGGCGCACGCTTTGCTGGTGGCTGATGCTCAAAATGTCCCGTTGTTTTTTCTGCTTGCAGGTGGTTGATCTCCTGGTGGCGTTGCAAGTGTGTTGTGGGGGGATTGTCTTGCAATGGCTGCAAGCCATTCTCGACGCCATCCCTGCTGCTGCTGCCTCGCATGCCGAGAGGATGGCTCTACTGCAGGCGATTGTAGCAGCTGGCAATGCGTCAACACCACGCGACGCCACCAATCATGTGCTGCCAGCTGTGGACGATTTGTCAGGCTCTTGTCGGCGGTCAAAGCGCGTGCTAGATGCAGTGCAGCAGGCTCTGCTAGGGGGTAAGGTCGCTGGGAGGTGAGAACATGAAGGTTGGCTGTAGCTAGAAATATTGGGGGAAAAATAGCCTGATCGCAATATTGAAGAGTGTATGCGTGTAGCTAGATATCAGGAGTTGTAGCACTCCATGCATTTCTTGTTAGAACAGCTTAGTAGTATGAATACACTACCCCAGTGTGTCCCTTTCATCACGAGAATCCTTTTTTTTTTACAGTTGTTCGTGGTTTTACCACGGGGTTGGGAGGCCCGCACAGGAGAGTTCTGCGTAAGTAGGCAGCGTCAACTCCTGGCTGGCCTTTTACCCTCCATAAATTCAGAGCGCAGGAGCGCAGCGACAGGTGTCAGCCAGTCGCGTAGTTTTCCTTACTCATTAGTTTAAGGCAACTGTTCACTTTGTTTTCGATCCCCTTCAATACGAACTCGCGAACTTGTACCACTTTGCTTTGTGGGACCGAACTTGTTTGAGTGGCAATGACGTGGCCCAGCATTTTTGGGAGTTAGGCTGGATTGACTCAGGGCGTATCTTAGTTCGGATCATAAGGGTGCTTCGGTTAACACTGTACACTGCGGGTCATAAGAGGACCACTGATATTCCAGTAGTGTAACTAAAACTGCACCTTATTGGTCGCCTAAGAACTCACGTGTCCCAAACCTGCCCATAACTCCAAATGAGTTACGCCCTAAGTTGTTTTCCCACCTCACGAGCTGCGCTGCTGAGCGCTTTCACCTGATTCGCGAGCGAGGCTCCCATAATATTGGACACGATTACCTGAACCCTGTGACCCAATCAAAAGCAAAGCGATCGCCAATGCCCATAATTGGTTTTCGCAGCCTTCAAGCAACCCAATTGGTTCCGTTCCGTCCGATTCATCCATCCCTTGCTGCACTTCTCGATCGTGTCGTCATTTCGCCAGCCCTTGTCCAGAAAATCCATCTCACACTGCCCGAATTTCTGAAACAGCGAGCCTACGGAGTAACTTCTTGCAGCCTTCACTCGACCTTGCTGCCCGAGCCACGTGTCGATTGTTCCTTGGCACACTACCACCTGGTGGTCCCTTTGAATCTGCCCCGGGGATGCCTTCAACTTCTGCACCTTGCCCCTGTGTCGCCAACAGGGTCCCAGCCAGACCCACCATGCAGATTCCTCCCGCATTGCCATGTCAAGCAAACAGCAAGAAGCGTGTGAGGTAAGCAAGCATGTATTGTGCATCTCGTGATTTTTGCGAGTGAAATCAGTGGCAACATCAGATTCCTGTAGGACATCCTTGCAATACGAGTACGTGAAGCATTTCAGGAAATCCGTTCGATCCCTCGCAAAAATCTGTTTGAGAAGGGTTTCTGGCATACTCTTTTCAAACTGAAGAATTGAGTGAGTAAATTTCGCCTGCTTTGTTGTGGTGCTCCACCTTACAGCCAGAGATCGTCATCTGTACCTTCGGAACCATGACGTCTGTAATTAGTTCTAGAGTACCTTGCACCACACTAGCTCTCCAATCGGATCCCAAGGCCAAATATGGTGAAACTCGCAGCGTTTCCGTTTCGTACCTTTCGAGCTCTTGCTTCGGCGTGCAAGTCCGTCCTTACAACATCCGCGGTACAGGTGCAAGCAGCAGATGCTGGAAGCCGCTGCTTGTCCAGTCAGCGGCAGAGCCAGAGAAATTCTTCCGAGACCTGTCTGAAGCTGCGCAGAAGAAGGCGAGGGAGGCTAAGTCAAAGGTCGAAAGCTTTGCTCGTGAAAACGATCTTGAGAAAAAAATCAAGAAAGCTGCTAAGAGCGCTGCTAGTCGTTTGGAAGAGTTATCTTTTGAGGCGGAGAGGTATGCGACGAACATTGACAGGCGATATGGCGTGAAGGAGAAGGCGAATGAGGTTCTAGGAGGTGCGGCGAATCAGCTTCGGGAAGTGGACGAGAGGCTTCGTGTACGACAGAGGTTTCGTGCAGCGTCTCAAGATCTGAAGCAGAAATGGCCCAAGGTGAGTGACTTGCAAGTGGTATCGAGGTAGAAAAGCACAGAGTATATACTTTTGGCATAAGGTATGCGATGACGTTGGGTTTAACTCGAGTACATGGAACTTGATGGTTGAGAGGGTAGAGAACTTGATGGTTGAGAGGTTAGCTCGTGGATGGCATGAAAAAGAACGTATTTTTTTACCTGTTTTCGCTTTCCGGGCTTTTGTGGATACCAGCGCGGAGTGCATGAATATTGAAGTTGTTTGCTTTCCGGTTTTGCCATACTTGTTTTATCCCACCCTGATTTTTGTTGCAGTATGAGCGCCAGCTGAATGAGTTCAGGGAGACGCCTATTGGGCAGGCTGTCTTCGTAAGTTTTACGGAAACCCCTGTCGTACTTCTTGCATCTCGATGATTCACTCCTTTGTTCCGACGTCATCCCTGATTTTTAGCGCTATCTAACAGCATGGTTTGGCTTTCTAACTCTTCTGTTCGCCTTGGTAAGCTCATGCGAATGCCTTTCTTTCTGGGCTGTCTCTTTTCTCGCAGTTTGGTGCCTTCTGCTGGCTGCTTTTATCTGGATGGCTCTTTCAACTGTTCTTCTGGTCCCTCTGGCTCATCCCTTTGCTTCCATGGATTGTCCGAAGCATGGCAGGCAATACCATTGTTGAGGTTCGTTCAGGCCTTGACAGTTTCTCCTTTTATTTCTCCTGCTTGCTTTTATTGCAACTTCTACCCATGCACTCTGCTTATCTCTGCGTATTCCTGCTGTGCTCCCTTGTGTGCTCTAGGGTGTTTGCCCTTCATGCGGCCAACGTTTTGTGGGGCCACGTGCACAAGTGCTTGCATGCCAGCGCTGCAGGGGAGTTGTGTGGAACCCCAATATCAATGGACAGGCTAGCAAGGGGGGTAGGGCATCTCGAGATGACAATATCCGTATTATTGACATTGAGGCTGAGTGAATCAGAGTGTGATTTCTGTTAGGTAATTTGCTCCAATTGCACATTCATGGTGTGGGATGTGCCAAGTAGGTGTGTTGTGTTAAATACTGGTTGCTTTGTATAAGTAGCAGGTTTGTCTCTGGTTCATTGGTGTGTCGAATAGAAACATGATTTTGTAAGGCAGTATGCCCGCCAGCATACTCTCAGATGGATCATGCAGCCTGATTTTCATGGTTAGCATTGTCACAGGCAGTCCTATGTAGTTCATCCACGAAGAGATCAGAGGTGATAGCTTGAGTTGATGCTTGTTATATGAAGCCTGAGTATTAAAGCTGGGAGCCAAACGTGGGACAGTTTGCCTTCTTTCAGAACCTCCAATTGCGTATGCCTCCAACCCTAAATTGCCCATGACAGCAGGCAGAATATGGCCCATGACCTTCTATGGTATTGGAATGTCATGGGCCATGAATCCATGATCTGCACAAACATCATACTGGTAACAGTACTCAAAACAGTCTGGATGCTTTCGCAACATTCGTGCTTGTCGCAAAAGAAACGTGGCAGAAACGGGGCCACGTGGCGCAGCCACACGTCCCAGTGATGTTCGATCGGACGTGGCGTTTTGGTATGCCGTATCACCTTGGAGGAAAGGGCACGGGGATGGGTCATGCACCGAGCTTGCAAATGACGTGATCACCATACACCTCTGCTCTTGTAACTCAGCGAGATATTGACGAAGCTTCATCCTGCAAGCGATAAGAGGTCGCTAACTGCTGTTACCACTTCCTCTTTTATCACGCAACCCATCCGTTTTCCAGGATGGTTCCACCTCCACATCCACCATATCAAACCACACCAAACCACTTCTTAGTCTGTGAAGTCCAGTCCAACCCCTTTGGTCACTACACGTGTCGACGTGTCTAGTTACTACTAGTTCCCAGACGGACGGCTGGCTGGCTGGCTCACTCCCTCTCGTCATCACGGTTCCGAGTCGCATCGCTGTCCGATCTCCCACTGAATCCCACGCGTCAATCATAAAAAATTTCTGGGCGGATCCTGAGAATCCTTCATTCATCCCCTTCTGAGAGAAAGAAAGAGACAGAGAAGAGAGGGTACGAGTACCAGGCTCTGACATCGAGATTCGAGATCCTTCCTTATAAGATCGATCTCTCTGCGTTGCGCCAACGAGTCGTGCTGGCGTTCGTCATTACCAAGCTATCTCGGCGCGTCATTCGCTCTTCTGCTCCCTCTTGCAGTCGTATTCCTCGCTCTTCTCTCACGGACTGGGCTCGCAGCGTAGGCGTAGTCGAGCACTTTGCGCCAGTCATGACTTCCGCTGCTACAGCTTCCGCGCTCATCCGCGCACCTGCTTGCGCCGCCGCAGTATCTCCATTCCCCATGGCCGCCTCCGCCGCCAGTTCCGCCGCAACTTCCTCGGCTGCCCGTTACTTCTCCCCGTCCTTCGCGCGCCCTTCCAGCCTCTCCTATCGCTCTTCCGCCCCCCTGTCCGCAAGTCTCTCCGCGTCTTCCGCCATCGCCAGTACCTCCGCCATCTCCGCATCCTTCCGCAGTTCCGCGTATGCGCCTCTCTCCGCGTCTCATTCTTCCTTTCGCCATGTCAGCGCGTCGGCCGCGTCGACCCCTGAATCGGGTCCTGCGGAGTCGGAGGAAGTTAAAGCCACCGGCACTTCCGGAAGCGTAGACTCCGACACGGACGCGTTTTCGGAAACCGAAACCGTTTCCGCGACTAACGGGGCGGCTAGTAACGGGGTAGCGGCGAGCACCAGCAGCGCGACTAGCAGCGCGAGCATCGCGAGTGGCGAAGGCGGCGCGAGCAGCGATGTGGCGGTGCCGATCGAGCTTGAGTATGTGCCGCTGGCGGGGTTCCGGAAGCTCGGCGCGCAGCTGAAGATGCTGGTGGAGTGGCCGTGGCGACGCGTTAAGAAGAACTCGGTTCTGTACATGCGACTCAAGGGCAATGTAAAATCCTTTAACTCTCTCTCCCTCTCTTGTTCTCTGTCTCACGCGCTTACTCTTACTCGCTCGCTCTCACCCTCTCTTCCTCCCGTTTTCTCTCGCTGACTCTCTCACTCTCTTATCCTCTTCTTTCTTCCTCGCTCTCACTCCCCCTTATCTTCTCTTCACTCTGTAAGTTGTTCCTCATTTCATGTTTCTCTCTCCCCCGTCCCCGCACCCCCCCGAGCTCCTCCACCGCACCGACGCCACGCCACCCCCGCTTTCCCCTTCCGCCAACTCACCCCGCCCCCCCCCCCCCCCCCCCCCCCCCCCCCCCCCCCCTCCGCTTCTTTATTCCCGCAGATTCCCGAGATGGTGGGGTCCTCCTTCTCCCCGTCGCTCTCCCTCCCCGCGATTTGCGACAATCTACGCAAGGCAGCCGTGGATCCACGTGTCTCCGCGCTGCTGCTCCACGTGGACCCGCTGCAGTGCGGCTGGGGCAAGCTGCAGGAGATTGCTCGCCACGTGGCGCACTTTCGCAAGTCAGGTGCGTGGCGCTGAGCCTACATATGTATATTCATCTGCGCCTGTACTTATAACACTGCTGGTATAGCTGCGTTGTCACGTTCCTCCTTCCTCTGGCGCGTGAGATGAGACGCCGCGTTCCTTTGGAGTCAATAACCTCTTTCTGAAACCGTCATGTGCATCATGTCTCCGCGTTCCTTCACTCCGCATACGACCCTCTCACTCTAAACAAATCACTCATCCCAGCCCTCGCGTCCCTCCTCCCCTCCTGTCCCCTCCTCTCCCCACCCCCCCCTTCCTCCCCTTCCGTCTGCGCCACCAGGCAAGCCTTGTATCGCGTACATGACGGTGGGCGGAGAGCAAGAGTACTTTATTGCGTCCGCGTGCGAGGAGATCTACGCTCCCCCCGGCGCTTACCTCTCCCTGCGCGGACTGGCCGTGCAGGGGCAGTTCCTTGGGGGTAAGACGAACGGGGGGGGAGAGAGCTGGGGGAGAGTTGAGATTGGAAGGAAGAGGGAGAGGGGACGAGTGAGGCGGTCACGAGGGAGGGGATGAAGAGTGATCGATGCTGGAAGTGCAGTCCCGGTGGCCATGCAGGGTCTTTCTTCGGGTGGTGGGATGAAGCTGGGGGAGTGAGGGAAAGTGCGGATGTTGGGTGGCGGAAGAAGGCGGGACAGAAAGTAAGCGAAGCGATCAAATAATTGCAGAACTCCTCAAAATCCCACCCACTCTCCATAAAACTCCGGGTGTGCTGCAGAAAGCGGGGTAAAAAAACTCCTGGTAGATCAGTTACTTGATCGATTCCCTTGCACCCCGTTTTCCTCTCCTCCCTCCCTGCCTCCCCTCCTGATCGGCCAGGCGTGTTGCAGAAGGCGGGAGTGCAGCCACAAATCGAGCGCATCGGCAAGTACAAGAGCGCGGGCGACCAGCTGGCACGGTCAGACATGAGCGAGCCCAACCGCGAGATGCTCACCGCTATTCTCGACGACTTCTACTCCACGTGGACCGCTGCCGTGGCTGAGAACAGAGGTACGTTGGTTGGAACTTGGTTGTGTGCGGTTGGTATGGGTTGATGCATGGATAGTTTGACATGAGCGAGCCCAACCGCGAGATGCCCACCGCTATTCTCGACGATTTCTACTCCACGTGGACGGCTGCCGTGACTGAGAACAGAGGTGCATGCAGGTGTGCATTTGTGAATGTTTTCCTAGAGCTGTTTGGGAGGCAATTGATGCTCAGTGCTCACCACCTTATTTGACGACTTTTACTTCTCGTGGACAGCTGCCGTGGCTGAAAACAGAGGTACGTTGGCTGAAAAGGGTGCAGGAGGTGAAGGAGCTCAACAGAGCCAACAGGTGTAGTATTCCCCTTTCCCTCATCCTCAGTCTTAGACCCACCCCTGCCTGCCTCTGCTTGTTCTCCGCCTGTCCCATACTCACGCCCACACTGTACCTGTACCCCCCCCTGTGTCCTTTCTTGCCCTCACGTGTGCTAGCAGGGGTGGGGCAGGAGGCAGTGCAGCAGCTGCTGCAGGACGGAGTACAGGAGGTGGAGGAGCTCAAGAGCAGGGGATTCCTCACTGACGTCATCTACGGCATCCAGGTGTGCTGCATGGCCTCGAGTGGTGTGGTGTGGTGTGGTGTGGTGTGGTACGGCAGTCTGCCGTACACTCAGCTTCTCTATTCCTTTGTTCGTTTAGTTGCCGCCCCAAGCACCCCTCCACCTTCTCACCGTGCATGTCTGTTACAAGAGATGTGTGTATGCTGGAATCTGCGACCCACTTGTCGAATTCGCCCCTTCGGTTTCTTTCACATGTGACTCTGTGCGTGGGAGTGATTCATGCGTGTGCCTTACCTTAATGTGTGATTGTGTGTGCGTGTATGTGTGCCTGCGTGCATGCTATCAGGTGGAGGAGCTGTTGAAGGAGCGGCTGGGGCAGGACAAGGAGAAGCCTCTGCAATCCGTGGACGCCAAGTGAGTGTTGTCTCTCACTCACTGCCTTGCTCTGCCCTGCCTTGCCTTGCCTTAGCGTGCGTGGAATGAGTTGTGTTTTGAGTTGACTCAAAAAACGACTGCAATCCGTGGACGCCAAGTGAGTGTTGTCTCTCACTGACTGCCTTGCCCTGCCCTGTCTTGCCTTCTCGTGGGAAGGCTGAATGAGTCTGCATGTGGGAGTCTCTCAGTGAGAGAGGTTTTCGTATGGAGATATTAAGTGGGTGTGTATACAGGGAGGCGCGAAGTGTAGCAGAACTGTCATAACGCCCTTTGAGGCGCCTCAAAATGAATGCTCGCGGTGGATGCACTGAAAGCTGATTGAACGAGGCAGACCGCTTGGTAAGAGAAGCACTCTTGCAACAACTGTGCTTGCCCTACGACCCCTCCTCCTCATTCTCCCGGTTTGTTTTTCTCCTACCGTAAGAAGTACGGAAAAGTATTGCCCTCGACCGTGGGGCTGGGCGGGAAGAAAGAAGCGCATCGCATCGCTGCGGGCAGTGGGGGCGATAACGCAGGGCAGGGAGCGCGCGGCCTTTTGAGGCACTTCTACGCTCCTCCTTCTCAATCCTCATTCCCTTTGTTCCTTCCTCCCCCAATGTAGGAAGTACGGAAAAGTATCGCCCTCGACAGTGGGGCTGGGCGGGAAGGAGCGCATCGCAGTGCTGCGTGCAGTGGGGGCGATATCGCAGGGCAAGGAGCGCGGCGGCGGCATGGGAGGGGGTGGCGTGAAGAGCGAGAGCATCATTGAGAAGCTGCGGATGGTGAAGGAGAACAAGCAGTTCAAGGCACTCGTGCTGCGGATTGACAGTCCGGGAGGAGACGCCCTTGCATCTGACCTGTAAGTCAAACAGGGTCAAGCGGGGTTGGCTGAGGTTGACGGGGTCATAGAGATTCAAACAGAGTGAAAGAGGTGAACAGCAGAGTCAATGGGGGCTGGATTAGTTTGACTGATTAATGTGTCGAGAGGGCAAGAGTATCATCGAGAAGCTGCGGATGGTGAAGGAGAACAAGCAGTTCAAGCCACTCGTGCTGCGGATTGACAGCCCTGGGGGAGACGCCCTTGCCTCGGACCTATGAGTCAGCCTGAACTGAGTCAGAGTAGTTACGAAGATAGGTGGGGTCAAACAAAGGTTAACGGACTGAAGGAGGTGGATATACAAAGTCGCGAAACGGTCTAACTGGCAAGGTGAAACCAGCGGTTGCGAGCATGTCGCGCCGCCATACACCACATGTGCTTCCGAGCCACCATGCACAAACTCCATTCTTCCCTTTCTTCCCGCTCCCGCCATTTTCCCTCATCCAGCATGTGGAATGAGATCCGAGAGCTGCTATTTTCCCTCATCCAGCATGTGGAATGAGATCCGAGAGCTGCCATTTTCCCTCATCCAGCATGTGGAATGAGATCCGAGAGCGGCCATTTTCCCTCATCCAGCATGTGGAATGAGATCCGAGAGCTGGCCAAGGTGAAACCAACCCTCACCGAGTCGACTAAACCCATCCCCCCCCCCCCCTCCTTTCCCCCCATTCCCCTCTCTCCACCCCCTCCACCCCAGCATGTGGAATGAGATCCGAGAGCTGGCCAAGGTGAAGCCAGTGGTGGCGTGCATGTCGGACGTGGCAGCCAGCGGCGGGTACTACATGGCCATGGCTGCTCCTCACATCGTCGCCGAGCCCCTCACGCTCACCGGATCCATTGGTGTCGTCACAGGTGAGGGCTGGTTTTGAGTTGGCTCAAATCATGTCGGACGTGGCAGCGAGTGGCGGGTACTAAATGGCCATAACTGCTCCGCACACTGTTCCCGAGCCCCTCACTCTCACCGGCTTCATTGGCGTCGTCACAGGCGCGGGCTAGCTGTGAGAAGGTCAGCGCATGGGCCATGCCGCACATGCCGCATCCGTTACAATTTCCTGCTCACCCTCCCTCTCATCTTCCCATGTCCCTTCCCCCGATCCTCCCAACCTTCCCTCCTCCCCTCCTCTCCCTCCCATGGCATGACCTTTGCCCCGTGACCTGGTTTGGCATGATGGCAGGCAGCGCGTGTTTTTTGAGAATTCTCAAAAAACCCCCGTGACCTGGTTCGGCATGATGGCAAGCAGGTTCAGTCTGGGCGAGCTGTACGGGCGCATAGGCTTTGTGAATTCTTAGTCAACACAGACATCTCCCCCTCACCCCTAAACCCGCAACCTCTGCATCTTCTTTTTCTTGGCATGGCATGCAAGTTCAGTCTGGGTGAGCTGTACGGGCGCATAGGCTTCAACAGAGAGATCATCTCCCACGGCTGGAGGCTTCAGAGTTGTCTGCAAATTCCCTCCGCTCCTCCCTTCCCCGTTTTTCCTGGCACAATCTCTGCCTCATGTCCTGGCGTGGCATGGCAGGCAAGTTCAGTCTGGGCGAGCTGTACGGGCGCTGAGGCTTTAACAAGGAGATCATCTCCCGCGGCCGAAGCTGACTTCAGAGTCAACTCAATTTCTCCCCCCCTCTCCCCCCCCTCTTTCCTCCACTCTCCCCCAACCCCCTGGGGAAAATCTCTCCCTTGCGTCCGGGGTTCTTATGGCAGGCAAGTTCAGTCTGGGGGAGCTGTACGGGCGCATAGGCTTCAACAAGGAGATCATCTCACGCGGCCGATTCGCAGAGCTTAATGCGGATCAGCGCCCCTTCACGTGAGTGCCTCGCAATTTTTAATCAACTGGAGCGACCTTAGTGTTCTTCCTTCTTTTTCCGCAATTCTTAGGAGTTACCCTGTCCCAGTTCCAGACCCAAGCCCCAGCCCGTCCTCACTCTGCTGCCAAATTGATGTTTGTTTCCCGTCTTCTTTCTTGAATATAATACAATCACCACGCTTTGGTATTTCAAATCAACACCAAGATTCTGATGCTACCATAACCCCACATGCCTCTTGTGTCATGCTCACCTGATTCTTGACTCCACTGTATCTCCGTCCTCACTGCATCCATACCATACAGCCCTGACGAGGAGTAGTACTTGGCCAAGGGGGCCAAGATCGCAATTTGTAGGCGCATTTCTTAAGGCTGCTCATTACTCGCCTCCCTTGCATCTCGTCCTCACTGCATCCATACCATACAGCCCTGACGAGGAGGAGTACTTGGCCAAGGGGGCCAAGATCGCAATTTGTAGGCGCATTTCTTAAGGCTGCTAATTACTCGCCTCCCTTGCATCTCGTCCTCACTGCATCCATACCATACAGCCCTGACGAGGAGGAGTACTTTGCCAAGGGGGCCAAGATCGCATACCAGCGCTTCAGGAACAAGGCAGCCTTGTCTCGCTCCATGCAGGTATGCCCCCACCCACCCTGCCCTACCTAGCTGCCACCCACCCTCGACCCAAAAGCACCTCTTATAATGAACCTGTGAGGCCATGCCCTGCTTGCAGCTCCAGCCCGATACCTATGTCTTAAGAAAGAAGGCCGAGCGACCATGCTAGAGCGCTTATGGCAGCTTCCACAGTGTAAGATGCTAGGTCAAGGCAGGCCAAGGAGTGGCAATCGCGATGCCAACAGTTCACAGGCTCTACTGTTTCTACTGTACTCACATTCTCCTCACAACTCCTTTTCAGCCAAGATGCCACCAGACTCACAGAATCTACCTTTTCTTTTGTATGTGTACCGTACACCCCTACTGCTCTCACTTTCCTTGCTTCCCAGGAGGAGGATATGGAGGCAGTGGCACAGGCTAGAGTCTGGACAGGCCAGGCAAGAAGCTACGGGGCTGACAATCCTGTTTTCCTAAATTCCCTTCCCATCCTCCCTACACCTCCGTTTCCTCTGTGCACAGGAGGAGGATATGGAGGCAGTGGCACAGGGAAGAGTCTGGACAGGCCAGGCCAGAAGCCAAGGACTGACAATCCATTTTATTTTTTTTGTACTCTGATCCTCCCCATACCCCCCTTTCCTTGCAGGAGGAGGATATGGAGGCAGTGGCACAGGGAAGAGTCTGGACAGGCCAGGCTGCCCACAAGGCCAACCTAGTGGATTCTCTCGGAGGCTTCTGGTCCGCTGTGCAGGTCGCCAAATCTAAGGCTGGCATCGACCCATCTCAACGCGTGCGCATTGTCGAGCTCTCGCGATCTCAGCCGTCCATCACCGCTCTGCTGTCAGGAGGTGCCCAGTCGGTTCTCTCCCTGTCTGGCTTCTTCGGCCCCAAGGCTCGCGCCGAGGCTCTCTGTTCCCTTGCCGCGGATATGTTGCTTTCTCCGAGTCTGGGAGCTAGCTTCGGCGCCAGCCTCGGCAGCAGTGGCACCAGCTTCGCCAACTTGCTTTCTGGGGGAATGGATGCAAGCATGAGTGGCGTCCTCGTTACAGGCAGCTCCGGTGCAGTGAACAGCAGCCCGAACACTGTGGGTGTACAAGCAGTCATGGAAGGAGATATCGCTGTTCGGGGAAGCGGCAGTGAGACAGCAACAGCTATTTACAGCGGCGCTGATGGTTCGGCTGGCCTAGCCGAGCTGGCTGTGCTGCTATCCCCCGCTGCAGCCGCACTAGGGAGTGCACTGGGCCAGGGCACTGGCAATGTGGAAGAAGGGAGGAGTGTAGCAGTCACTGAAGATGATTCTGTAGATGTGCAGTAACACATCTATTTGGATTTGGCCCATGTGTGTGTCGAAAGAAGTGGTGCCTTACTGTGGTGCAAAGATACTTTACTGCAGATATGCAATTTATTCAGCGCAAACCTGTATTTACACATAGTAATATTTACCCCTAGTCTTACTGTCTCAATGCTCTGGCATGTAGGGACGGAACAGAACAGTATGGAATTTGTAGAGATGAGAGGGGAGAGGAGTGGACATTAGTTGTCCAGCATGTGCATATTGATGAAATTTATTTTGATGCACCGGCTTGAAATTACTACTGTATCTGTAGTGATACGCCCCAGTTGAACCAAAGAGCCCTTGTGCAAGAATCTGTAAAGCTCCTATGTAGTTACTAAATCAGATTATTAGATCATGTTCTTGACAATAATAATCGTTTCATAACTTTATGTTTGTGCCATGTATATGGGGTGAAAGATGACGTCTGCACGAATTAAGACTGTGACTAAGGTCCGGACCGGTGGAAGGGCAAGGGAGCAGGTGGTCCGGTGGAAGGGCAAGGGAGTGGGTGTGGAGTGATGTTCGACCACCAAGGAGGAAGGGAAAGGCAGGAGAGGAGAGAGTGTGAGTGTGTGTTTGAGGGGTGGGTGAGTGCGAGTACCTGTGAGAGGGATAAGAGTGGAGTAAGCAGCAGGGACAGAGGCTTGACAGGCTGGGCAGTAAGGCACGGTAATTAAACATTCAGTCTGGAAGTCCAGGTTTGTGATGAGGAGGAAGAGGAAAGGTGAGGAGAGGAGATGAGAGGGGAGGGGAGGAGAGGAGAGGAGAGGAGAGGAGAGGAGAGGAGAGGAGAGGAGAGGAGGGAAGAGGAGAGGAGAGGAGAGGAAAAAAGAGAGGAGAGGACAGGGGAGGGGAAGGGATGGGAGGGATATGAGAGGAGACATGATGGAAGGTAGAAAAGAGGAGACGAGGGAAGGGGAGGAGAGGGGACGGGAGGGGAGAGGACAGGAGAGGAGAGGCGGGGAGAGGAGAATGAACCAGAGGCGAGGGTAGGGTGGTAACACTGGACAAACCAGACAGGGATGCGACAAAGCAGCAGGAACATGTGACGATTGGGTTCACAGTAACAAGAGGCGACAGGAACAGAGGGTGAGGGGGGGGCGGGGGGGGGGGGGGGGGGGTAGGAACAGGAGGCGGTAGGAACGGGGGCGGTAAGAACAGGGGGCGGTAAGAACAGGGGCCGAAAACAGAAGGGGACGGCTGGCACACAGGAAGTGACTACAACGAGCACACACGGGATGGTGGTGCAGGAGAAACGGAATAGTTACGAGTTTGGCACAAGCATATGCCGGACACAGGGGAGAGGCAGGGGCCTGAGCGGGAGGCGGCGGCGGGGGTTGTGATTGTAGGGGTGACAACGTGTGTAAGAGGGGGTGTTGGGAAGGGGGAGAGCGCGACGGGGAAACGGGAGACAGGGTACGGGGTGATGGAAATCGGGGTTACAGTAAAGGGGAGCGAGGCGGGGAAGTGTAGGGGATGGGAGTGGGCGGGATATTGTGCGGGGGGAACGTGCGCCTGGGTAGGTGCATGTGTGAGAGAGGAAAGCGAGAGAAAGGATTAGAAGGAGAAGGTTGACAACTAGGGAAAACGATGTACAGAGGAGATATGAAGGGAGAGGAGAGGAGAGGAGGGAGTTAAAGGTGGGAAGGGAAGAGGGAAATAAGAGAGGGGAAGAGGGAAGAAGAGAGGGGAAGAGGGAAAGAAGAGAGGGGAAGAGCGAAAGAAGAGAGGGGAAGAGGGAAAGAAGAGAGGGGAAGAGGGAAAGAAGAGAGGGGAAGGGGGAAAGCAGAGAGGGGAAGAGGGATGAAGGGAGGGTAGCAGGAACAGATCAGTGAGCCGTACGTTAATGAAACTTGCTACACCCGTGAGCGTTCAGGTGTTCATTCAAGAGTGCTGAAACTGTTTGGTATGTTAGACCACTCGGAGAAAACAAAAGTAAAATTCATGCTTCCAAGAGTGCAAATCAACGGCTACAAGAAATCGAGGAGATTGCGCTCCCTTGTCGCACACTTAGACACTCCTAAACCCTGCTAAACCCCGTACCAGAGAAACAAGCCACATCTATGCCTTCCAATCCCACGGACTCCGTCAGCAGTAACGCTTGATTCTAACTGGCATAAACCCCGAGTTCCAAAACCTACCACACGACACTGCCTTGATGGTGCCACTATGCCCCTTTGTCCTTACCACTTCCTCCTCACCCCTCGCGCAAAAAAAAGACTGATAACGACTAATCTTCTCTCACCTTATTGCTCTGATCTTGATCCCTCACTCCTTCCCTCCATTCTTCTCTCCCTGTCTCTCCTCTCACTCGATAGATCTACAAGCTGCATACCGTCGCGAATCTACGCCGCCTTCTTTTCCGCATCAGCGTCCTCTGTGGCGGCAGTGCCCGATTTCTGCGATCCGGTCAGCTTCGCCAGTGTGACGAACGACACGCCGCCAATGATGTTGTTGATCCCTCGGAGCGCGAAAACGACGCCCTTGAACACGCCGGGCGGCAGCCGCGCGCCGAGCGCCATCTCGATCCCGTTCAGGCTCTGATACCGAAGGTTGCTGCTCAGCCCCAGGTGCAGCGCCCACGTGGCGGCGTTAAGAATCGTCGGCGGCGCTTCGTTCATCACGACGAAGTTCGGATCGAGCTTCTTGCGCACCGCGAGGAGACCGTTGGAGATCGCGGTTCCAAAAAGACCGGCTACGAAACCGACCAAACCGAACTGAATACCCTTGTACACGAACGTGCCGGCGCGCTGGACCACGGAGTATTTTCCGGCCTCGAACATGTGACCCGTCGGACTCGACGCGAAGATTCCGGGCAGGGTGGCGGCGGCGCCGGCGGCGGAGGTGGGCGCAAGGAGGAACATGAGCGTAAAGTTCAGAATAGATCCGACGACGAGCGTGGAGAAGACAAAGTCGAGCTCGTTCATGCCGAAGTTAGGGCGTGCCGCCATGTCGCCGATCACGCACGCGGTCACGCCAATGACCATCTCCGCAAGGACCTTGAACGCAAACCCCGGATCGGCCGCGATGCGATCGTTCCACCCTCTAAGGAAAGCCGCGAAAGGGTTGAACCCTCCGCCGCTACCGCTGCTGCTGCTGTCACCGCTTCCGCCGCCGCCGCCGCCACCACCGCCACCGCCGCCGCCACCGCCGCTGCCGCCATTGCCCGATCCGTCGATGCCGCCGGTAGCTGCTTGTGGTCGAAGAGAGTCTGAAGATGAGGCAGATCTGTGACCGGAGATCGGGGTTTTAGATCCGCCCAGGAGAGGGGTTGTCGACTTACGTGAGCTGAGGTTAGATTGTCTGCGTCGAGAACCGCCGGCGGATACGCACACAACAGGCCGAGCGGCCGACGCGGCTGTTCTCGCGGTGCCGGCCAACGGGAAAGAGAGGGCCTTTGCCTGTGCCGGCACAAGCGCCGTCGATATCGCCGCCATCGTTGCGTTACCTGTCGACGAATATGTAAGGCTGGTTTAAGCTTCTACTTGTGCTGGCTGGACGTTGAGCAGGGTGATCTGTAACAAACAGATCTGGTCAGGTCGATTTCAACAGGGTGTGGCAATGCCGTTGTGAAAAAGAACCAACTCTGACCAGGCTTGTGGTGGGGGGAGGAGAAGAGGGAGACGCGGGTGGAGGGGAGCTTGGGTTCTAGACTTGGTGACCCTTATCTGATGGGCCAGGAGGAAGCACCAGCGGTCCCAGAGAATACCACACTGGCAAAATGCGATGCGAGATATTTAGTGTGCATTTTCTGGCAAAATCATAATATTTTTCCATGGAGTACAGTTTCGGGATCAAGTGACAGCTTGAAATGTTCCTGATTGGTGGTAACAGATCTCAGGAGCTGTCGTTCAGGACTTCAACCAGTCGTAGAGCACAGTTAGCTGAAACGAGCGACGAATACGAAACGAGAGATCACGATGGACGGTGGAAATTGCCAATTGGCGCCACGTGCCAACATGAAAACCCTGGATGCTGGTTTTACGATTACCAATAAGAGGCGAGGTTTACGGATTGAAATTTCCAGTAGTAATAGTGAGGGCTCTGTGAAATTTTCTATCTGCCCAGAACCCAAAATTATTCGCCGCATGTAGACCACAGCAGGTATCAATGCATTTTCCAGCACAGGTCAATTTGCACCCTCGGAATGGCTCATCCGCCAATCGAGGAGCCATCAAATAAGTGATTGGCGAAGCCCTTCGAAATGCGTGAGGTGGAAAGCATTCATCCTGTACAGAGGAGGGGTAATTATATCATAAACCGGAACTTTGTTAGGCCAGATCATGGAATGTTGCAACAAGGAGAAAACATACTACTTATGTTGGCAAAAACGGGGAGATCACCACCATGGCACCATCCTGCATGCAAAGTGGAAAAACTCAACGTTATAATTCAGGGTGACAAACCGTTATGCATACACCGACCAACACAAACTGTACTCACTATCGTGCTTGCAATGACGTCCAGACTATTGGGGGCTGCTGCTACTGCAACGACCGAAGAAGTGACAGCACCAATATACGGCGATCTTGATGTTCCGTTGTTTCCTCTTGCCTTTGAAATTGTCATCCTGACATCATCAAAAGTGGGAAAGAAAATATCATGTTAGCTACCAAGTCGATTCAAACACGTGCAGTAAAGTAGGACAAAACAGCACATCAAGAAACGGTGGTGGCATACCCGTGATTGGATTCAGAGGAGGATGGGGTGGCATGAGGTGATCCCGAGCCTAGATCAAGGAAGAAGAGGTGGGAATCCCTGGCCGAGGGGACACACAGTACCTGATGGGAAGCAGGGAAGGAGGGACTTAGTGGGGGAGAAGAGAGGAAACGAGCAAGATAGGAAGAACGCAAGATCCCTAGAGAGCAAGAGGCGCTAAAGAGCAAGAGAGCAAGACATCAAGAGTTGGCTGCAGGTCTGATTGAGAGGTTATAGGGATCAACCAAGGCGCACCGATTGCGGAAGCCAAGCGGGAACCCGGCGACTGACAAGGCTCCAAGTCCACGAATCCACCACTGGTGGCGCCACTACCGTGCGCTGCTGTTGATGTTGATGTTGCGGGTGGTCGTACTCGTATAGCCTCTCGTCCTCCTCGACTTCTGGCTGTGTGTTCACCCAGGGTGGGGGCGGACAGTGGATGTGGGAGAGGGAGAGCGAGGGCACATGCAGGACTCCACTCCTGCAGGAAGTCAGAGGAGGGAGAGGGGAGGAGGAGGGGAAAGCGACAGGAGAGAGCGATGGAGGAGAATGGAGGGGAGGAGGAGGCACGGAGGCGATGTGGGAGAGGGAGAGGCACAGACAGGGCACAGGCACAACCAGAAGGTTGTTCTGCTACAGTGCTTTCCAGGCAGTGATGGCCCAGGTCGGCAGATTTGTTTAAAAGTCTCAAAGATCGGTAGAGAGAGAGGGCACACGCAGCACTCTGCTCCAATCGGCACAGAGAGGGTTAGGTTACTCAGGGCTTCGCTGCCCAGGTTGGCAGGTGCACTTGCGAGGGGGGGGGGGGGGGGGATGATAAATGCTGATAAGGCGCCTAAAAGTGCAGCCAGAGGGAATCGATGAGGCTGAGCGTGGAAGTGGTGGTGCTTTCCTCACCCCTCCACGCTCAGCCTCACTTTCCTCATCTGGAAGTGGAGCTGAGCGTGGAAGTGGTGGTGCATGGGTGAGAGAGGGTGGATGGAGCTTTCTGGTGGATGGAGCTGTGTCTAGGGTTTAGGGTAAGAGATGAGAAAAAAGGGACGAGAGGAAGTTAGGATAAAATTAAGAGGGGAAGAGAGAGGAGAGCAGGCAAGTACCAGCCGTTGTTGAGGTGGAAGGAAAGGCGGGAGGCAGATGCAGGGTCAAAAGACAGGTGCTGGACTGCAGAAGAGATCGTTCCTGCCTGTAGCTGCTCAAAAGACAGGTGGTGAGAGGGCATGGAAGAGTTAAAGGAAGAGGATGTGGATGAGGAGGACGATACGCAAGAGGATATGCGACGAAGGGTGGTTAAGGGATGAAGGGTGGTTAAGGGATGTGGCTTCTGGGTCGATTTAAGTACGGCACTTGGAGTCATGAGGTGTAGGAACGGGTGTCACGATTCGCGAATGACTTTAGTAGCAAATCAATCAAGAACTAATCGAACACTGTCGAAGCAGTCACCAGCGTATCACTCACTAGCATCTGATAAGCCTTACCTGCAACGACGGCACAGAACCGAAGAGATGAGAGGTGGAAAAGAGGTGCAGCGGGAGGGTTCCATTCTGGAGAGTATGGGGGAGATGAAGGTGTGAGGGTGATGGGATCATTATCAAAGAATAAGAGAAGGGAAACGGAAGGCGGGAGCGAGTGAAGAAAGGGAAGGAGGGGTACAGTCAATTCTGAACGAGAGTTTGACTGCATCGCTCTTTTGGGAGGAAAGGAGGAAGGATATGGAGGCAGAGGCACAGGCTAGAGTTTCTGGTAAGTTTTATGAAAGGAGGAAAGGAGAGCGCAGCGCACCTCTCGTCCAAAGCAGAAGGCAGACGATGCTGATGCAGATGGGGAGCTTCCAAAGAGAGACGGAGCAGCAGGCTGTCGCTGCGGAGCCCTTGTTGTTGCACCTCTGCCGTGCCATTGCATGCCAACACGCCTTCCATCCGTCCCTGCTTCTCCTTCTCTACATCCTTCTCTGCCTTCTCTTGAACCGCTTCTTTCCCTTTCAGTCGATTCACAACCAGCTGCTTCTAGCACTTGTGCTACTGCTGCTGGCAGAAATGCTGTTCCTGTTGCTGCTGCTCCTCCTCTTTCTGCTCCCGCTGCTCCTCCGACTGCTTCTCTGCACCGACTCGCACAGGTTACACCACCACCAACACCACCACCAGCACACCCTCCGTGCCTAAAATGCCGAGAGGAACCCCACACGGACTCACTCCAACCCTCCGATCCCAGCAGATCTCGCGGAGTGAACGGCCCAGAAACACTCTCCTTACCCACAGAAGCAGCCCCTTTCTTCTGAAAGCCCATGAATCTTCTCTCAAGGCGATCGGAAAACGCCCCTCTAAGTAGGTCCATCTCAGCACAGCCGCTCTGCACCTTGTCGAATACCTTGTCAATGCTCATCATATCCAAACTCCCACCTTCGACCATGCCTGACCCCGTGCCTGTCCCCGTGCCTGTGCCCGTGCCTCTGGCCTTCTTTCTCATTCCTTCCAAGGCTTCTAGAGCACTCTCCCCACCCTGTCTCTGGTGAAAAATGCTGCTTCTGGCATAACTTATACTGCCATCATGCATGCTGCCACCATGCATGCTGCTTTTGCTGCTGCCGTTCCTCATACCATTGCTATTCCCCCGGTCCTCCCTCACGTTTCCACTGCCACACCCCGATCCGTTAGCCTCACTTGCACACTCCCTTGCGTTACTCTTAGCCCTCTTTGCACACTCTGCTGCCGCATCTCCAATCCCACTCTTTCCCTGTTCAGCTTGCTGAAATGATTTTTGAGGCGCCTCAGAAACCCTCTTTGCACACTCTGCTGCCGCATCTCCAATCCTCTGTCCAGCTTGCTGAAATTCTCTTCCCCTTTCCCTTCCCATTTCCCTTTCTTTACCTCGTTCTGTTACTTGTTCTCGCGCACCCAAGCTCTTTCCTGCAGCTAATGCCCCCTGCTCCCTCACTTCAACCCTTGTCCTGCCCCGGCACCCGTCAGCACCGCGTACCACTCCTACGTCTTTATCAATATCCCTCTCAACCTCTGCAAGCAACCCCTCTTCCACCAGCCCCCTACCATCCCTCTCTGTCACTCCACTTGCCCACTCCACAGCACCACTTATACCTTCGCTTTCCCCACCACTCCCCCCACCATTTCCGCCAAAACTCAGTCCTCCATTCCCCTTCCCACTCCTTCCACTGCTGCCGTTCGCCTGCGCTCCTACCAATGCACTACCTTTCTTAAAAGACCCTTGAGACGCTTCACTGGCTGCTGCTACTGCAGCTGCTGTTGCTGCTGTTGCTTCTGCTTCTCCTGCTGCGGCTGCTGCTGCTGCTGCTGCTGCCAAAGTAAGTTGCTTGGACGAAACATCACGGGATGGCAAAGTCTGGCTGAGCAGCTGGTGGTGATTCGATGCTCCATGCCTACGAGATTCACCTTCTGGAAGCGACTTCTGTAGCGACTGCTGTAGTGAGGATGATGCTGAGTGCGGGAAAGAGTTGTGGTTCCCCAACTGTCCAGTGCCTTGGCGCAGATCCCAGGCACAGATGGCGCCATCGGAACAGCCACCATAGATGACCTGTTGGTGGAAAAGGGCAGAGGGCAAGGACTTGCAAGGGTTTGTTAGGCGCCTCAGAAAACTGTCCAGTGCCTTGGCGCAGATCCCAGGCACAGATGGCGCCATCGGAACAGCCACCGTAGATGACCTGTTGGTGGGGAGATAGGAATGGAGAAGGATAGGCCTTTTGAGACATATTCTAAGAGACGACTCAAAATGTGCAATGTCCACAAACTAAGCTACTGTCACAATGCACATTCTGAGGGGAAATGTCTTAAAGGTATGAATGAATGGATGATGGGAACATGAATGAAACGATTTTGGTACATGCAATGTTTCAAGTCTCGACTAGGGCAATGGATCAATGAATCGATGGATGGAATGACAGGGCCGTACAGAAGCATCCGGGTCAGGTGCGAGGCACTTGAGTGTGGTAGTGGTGGCAGGCGATTGTCTGGCGTCAGGCAGGCGGAAGAGCATGGCTGGAGAAGAGAGAGACGCCCTGACGTCCCACAGTGCCGCTCGCGACGCCGTGCATGCTGCCACACTGTAATGGGGGAAGCGGAGTAGGGAAATGAGTGCAGGTGCGAAGCACTTGAGTGTGGTGGTGGTGGTGGCAGGTGATCGCCTGGCGTCAGGCAGGCGGAAGAGCATGGCTGGGGAAGAGAGAGACGCCCTGACGTCCCACAGTGCCGCTCGCGACGCCGTGCATGCTGCCACACTGTAATGGGGGAATGGGTGCGTGCATGCATAGAGGGATGGAGCGTGCATGGGTGCGAGATCACAGAAAAAGCCATCAGATGGGTGTGTGCGTGCGTGGAGCTCAGCATGAGAATCAGGGGAAGAGGAAGGCCGCAACGGCGCTGGCTTTTTGAGTTTGTATCACTTCTGAAAGCTCGCTTCAAAATTGAAACAACGGGCGCTAGGACTCGAGCAGCCTAAAAACATTGCTCACCACGAGGAGGAGGAGGAGGAGGAGGAGGAGGAGGAGGAGGAGGAGGAGGAGGAGGAGGAGGAGGAGGAGGAGGAGGAGGAGGAGGAGGAGGGGAGAAAGGCCGCATCGGAGAAGGATGGTGCTGACCTTTGAGTTTGGATCACTTTTGAAAAATCCCAGGAATGATACAAGGTTGCCCATTCTTTTCTCGACTCGGAAGTCAGCTCACCAGGAGGAGTAGAAAGGAAGAAACGCCACATCGGAGAAGGATGGTGCTGATGCTGATGAGAGGAGCTGGAGCCGTGACGGTGGGAGGGACTGGTGGGGGGGATGGAAACGTGGGCCGTTGGGGAGTTGAGGGGGTAGGGAGATGGGGCGGTGGGGGTTTGGGGGAGGTGGAAGCAACAGGAGTCAGAGAGGAGGAAGACAGGGAGTAAAAGAAGAATGGGGGCAGTAAGACATCTCAGCTGTTTTGTTTGAGGAGACTTAGTTTAGGAGTGAGGAGAGGGTTCCGGAATGCGTGCATTTGGCAAATAAATAGCAAAAAGAGGACGGAAAGTAGGTAGCAGACGGAGAGGGGTCAAGCACTTGGTGGTGGGGCAGGGGGAAGTCTTAGGACATGAGAGACTGATCCGTGGGAGAATTGATCTGTGAGGCGCATTAATAATAGGCGTGTGAACAACCAATTTCCATATGGGGCATGGTGGTCTTACAAGGCGAGAGAACTTATGTGAAGCCTCTTTGAAGGAGCAGAGGTGCACAGACGGAGTGCAATCCGCAAGCGCTATCTGTTCACATGCACATATGTATGTGCATGCACGCAGGCACACATACACACAAGCATGCACCCAGACACGCGTGCACATACGCATGCGTGCGCACACACACACACCCTCCACACCCAACCCAACCCCACCCCCACATTCGCACCCCCCCAAAAACAAACTTTCACTTTCCTCTCACACACACGCCCCACAAACACACACACACACACACTCCCACGGTCCCCCAGCCCACACACACAAGCACGCACACACATGCAAACACAAGGCATGTGAGTATCTGCGGAGGGAGGCGTGCATGTGGACACACAGCTGACATGCATTGCAGTCCTCAAGGGATTCCATAGCAAATGTTGTTTTTGAGACGACTCAAAAATAACCTATCTACACGTGGCGTCCATGTAGACACACAGCTGACATGTATTGCAGTCCTCAAGGAATTCCATTGCACATGTGCGTGCCGATCGCATTTCGTGCCGTGCCTCGCATGAATGATTCATGCATTAAACCACATGCCAAGCCATCCCAAGGCATGCAATGCCATCCCAAGCCTTGCCATGCCATCCCAAACCATGCCATATCATACCATGTCATCCCAAGCCATTACATGTCCTTGTCAGAACGAATCAAAGCTCTAGATGATCCCTCTCCCTCCTCCCAACATCCTCCCAACCTCCTCCCATCCTCCCCCCAACCTCCTCCCATCCTCCCCTTAACCTCCTCCCATCCTCCTCCCGTCCTCCTACTCCTCTCCGCTCACCTGCCCTGCCGTTCTATCTAGCCCCCATGCCATTCCCTCCACCCCGTTCCTTCCCACGCGGCACTCTAGCACTGGAGAGAGGTCTGGAGGCGCGGGGGGAAATGGGGAAATGGGGGAGGGAGACGGGAATGCGAGATGGGATGAGAGATAGGAAGATAGGAGATGGGGAATGGGGGATGGGTGATGGGAGGATGAGAGGTGGGAAATGGGGGATGCTAGATGAAGGCCCGTGGAGGTAGTGGCAGCGAGGCGAGGAGGCAAAGAAGCACGCTCATGCACAAGCTCACACGCGCGAGAGCACACACACACACACACACACACACACACAAACACACACACACACACACAAACACACACACACAAACACACAGAAACACACACACACACACACACACACACACACACACACACGCACGCACGCACGCACCCACGTGGAGATGGCAGCAGCGAGGCGAGGAGATGCGTGACTTTCAGTTGCCTTAAACCACACTCATATTGCTTCACTCATAAGGCATACCATGCACGGATGAGATGTGCTGTGCAGAGGAGGAGTAGACTGCGAGCAGGCCCGTGGAGGTAGCAGCAGCGAGGCGAGGGGCGGAGAAGGACGAGGGGTGGAAGGATAGGCAGGAGATGTGCGGCCTGGATGCACCACGGGTGGGGTGAGGGAAGAGAGGGGCGAGGGAAGAGGGAGAAGAGGTGAGAGGGAGACACGGAAACACAGAGGTGTGGGAAGAGGGGCGAGGAGGGGAGAAAGGCGTGGGTGGGTGGGTGGGAGGCAAGGAGGGGGGAATGGGGAGAAGGGTGGATGGGGTATTTGATGCATCTTATGATTGGAATTTGTGATGTGATGAGGGAGAAGGAGAAGGAAATGGAAAAGGAGAAGGGAAACGGGAAGGAGGAGAAGGAGAAGTGGGAAAAGAAGAAGGAGAAGGAGAAGAAATAGAAGGAGAAGAAGGAGAAGGAGAAGAAAAAGAAGGAGAAGAAGGAGAAGGAGAAGAAAAAGGAGAAGAAGGAGAAGGAGAAAGAAGGAGAAGGAGAAGAAGGAGAAGGAGAAGAAAGAGAAGAAAGAGAAGGAGAAGAAGGAGAAGGAGAAGAAAGAGAAGGAGAAGAAGGAGAAGGAGAAGAAGGAGAAGGAGAAGAAAGAGAAGGGGAGAAGGAGAAGGAGAAGAAAGAGAAGGAGGAGAAGGAGAAGGAGAAGAAAGAGAAGAAGGAGAAGGAGAAGGAGAAGGAGAAGGAGAAGGAATTCACCTGGGAGCAGAGGTGGCGGCAAGGAGAGGGAAGCCGACCTGTGGACACAAACGCAAACGGCGATTAGAACGGAATGACTACCCTTGAGGAGACGCGAGTGATATGGAACCGATTAATTACACACATCCAGTAAAAGACAAACTCCCAAGCCGACGCATGAGGCGCCTCAGAAGTCGATGCATGCATGATTCGACACACCTGCTGGGTTTCCAGGAAGTCCGGGCACAGTGCGAGCGTCTGGGTGTACGACTGCAGCAGCTGCTGCAGCGCGCTGAGCTTGGCGCTCGGGGCAAGGATGCCAGAGACCTGCCGTTCTAGCGTTGGAATGTGTCTGGGGGAGTTGAAAGAAGGGTTGAAGGAAACGGAGACGGAATAGGAACGGGAGTGGAGGACGAAGGGAAACAGGAAATGGAGAGGAAGGGGTGAAGCCGAGAAAGAAGGCAGTAAGGAGGAAGGAGGAACGGGAGGTAAATGCTGTCAGAGCGAGGAGAAAAGGAGCAGCTTGAGGTGGCGCTTTATCCAAATGGGGGACTCTGGAGTCTAGAGAAGTAGCAAGATGCACGTGCCTTCGCCGAATAATCCTCCTGCAGTGATCGCCGTCGCCAGCGATCAACGGTAGCTTCCCCCGCACGACGAACCGATCCATTGCTCCCGTCTTGCTGACGCTCTTTTGATGGTCTTTCGCGTCGCCGTCGTCTACGGTCCGCGGCGCCCCGCCTCGCACGACGAACCGATCCATGGCGCCTTTCCGCTCCGCCCTGGATTCAACCTTTATCGCACTCTTCGTCGCGCCTTTAATCTCAACCATCGCATAGAGTAGCAGCAGCAGCGCTTAACGGATACGGACGATTGAGGCGTCCAGAAACTCACTAACACACGAAGATTTCAAACAAGTGAATTGGGTGAACGAGTTTGCGACGCCGATGCTTAAAGGACAGGCGCAAGCGGACGGACCGAAAGGCCAAGAGGCTAACGACAAATTATCTTCTAGGTTCCCGTCCCAGTGAATGCTAGCAGCTGCGGAGCTGACAGTTCTTGCCTCAACAGCACTAGCCAGTGTGGGTTCGTGTATTGTCAGAGAAGCCAAGCCGCACAAGTTTCAAACTTTTGAAGTTTGAGCTTCGCACAGAGTGGTTCGACAAGAGAACTGTGTAGTGGCTGGAGTATACTTTCCTTGAATCTGTAACTTCTTCAACCTTGAATTTCAAAAGAGCGCATCACATAACTGAATTACAACACAAACGTTTCGCCTAGAGCTGTTCAGAAAGACTTTCAAGCTACGAAATATAATAGAATATAGCATATTGGTGCAGCAGCTCCATATTATGCAACTTGGCAACCCTTCCAAGTCCAAGATATCTACAAGCAGTTAGAAATAGGTCTCTGTTTGATCGATAGTCACTCCATTACGTCTCTAGCGAGCCACTGCTTGCACTGGAACCTTGAGTCCAACCATACGTCCTTGTGAGGCGGATCTGTTGAAGTGGCACGCAGCACAGTGATAAAGAAGCGGGGGTTAAAACACGGAGCCAGAGGGGGAACAAGGTAAGAGAAAGGTACCGTAAAAGGCGATCAAGTGTGGACAGAGATGATGGCCCGATGGAGAAGGCATAACAAACCAAGTGATGGAATTAGGACAGGAGACACAGCAAAAAAGGGAGGGGGAGGGATAGGTGGGTCAGGCCGGAAATGTGATCAGAAAGGGCGGGGTCATGAAGGGTGAGGGGAGCGGGGGGGTAAGGGGAAGGGAAGCTAGGCGGGGAAGATAAGGAGGAGATGTTGGGGTGCGGGGAGGTCCCTCCCTACCTGTGCGAATGAGAAGATAGCTCTGACCACACGAGCATAGTCTGTTCCCAATGACTGCACCACCACGTCTGCTATGAACGCACCCCACAGCCTGGTGGGTATCAGTGTTGCGTTGACAGGGAAATGAGAAGGGAAATGAGAAGACCAAGTGTTCACAAGAAATCAGCCGGGCGAAGGAAACAGCAACGCGAAGGATAGAAGCCAGAAGTAGTAAATGGCATGACACAGAGAGGGAAGCGCGTTTGCAAGAAGGGCGCAGGGTGGATACAAGGAGGTGGTGGGTGGGAGGTTGGCACATAGCCAGTGGAGCAAGATGCAATGCAGGTTGGAAAGGGGAGAGCTGGGACGACAACTTGCAGAGGTCTCAGCACAAGATAACACAGGGGAGGCTCCTCAAGAAGAACAAAGCAGGGGGTATGTTGGAAAGGGGAACGCAGGGAGGAAGGAAAACTTACAGAGGCCCGAGTAAAGCCATGGCGCTTCTGAGGCTGACATACCGAGCCGTTGCTGCTGCCAGACCCTACACATGGTCAGAACACCATGCACGGAAAGGGAATAACCATGCACGTGGCTGTGTTTGAGGTGTGAGCTCCTCACAGACAATCAACCGCAAGAAAAAAACACACACGTCGTGGAAAGCGGAGGAGGGTGGTGGAAAGAGAGACATGGGTACGTCTCAGAAGAGCAAGTGGGAGCAGTGGTCAGTCAGTTATAATGAGGTGAATGGATCCGCGTACCTGCTTGGCACTGTAGAACGCCAGGCGAGACTCAATTGTTGACAGTACAAGCTGCCCACCCTGTTGCCCACACCACGGTCAAGCAAGAGAACGGAACAAGGAAGAAGGGTGAAACGAGTTGGTTTGAGGAAACAAAAGGCAGTTCCAAATGGGAAATCCGGGTTGGGTGGCAAGGACGATGGGATGTCCAGGTTAGGTGGGCCATGTTGGGGACATACCCTTTTAAGAGCCATCTGTGTGACTTCGTACTTGGCTCGCTCGTACAGAACCCGCCCAGTGATGCGCGATAGCAGCTGGCAGAGAGAGGAGGAGGTGAAGGAGCACGGGAGGGTTGAAGAGTGGGGAGGCAGGGTAAAAAACCGTAGAAGGGTTTGGCAAGTGCTAAGAAAAACGAGGAGGCTCAAGCGTATGAAAGCATACCGGAGTGAGAATGGCTAGATGAAGTGGTGGAGGAACCAAGGGCTTTCACGGGTACAGACAGGTGACTGAGATGACCAAAGACGCAGCAAGCCACGGAAAGAGGAACGAAATCGAGCACGTAACCGTCTAAATGCTGATCACCAGCCAACCAACCAACCAGTTTCGTACACGAGCAGAGAACCTACTTCAACTAGTATAGCACGAGTGTTATACCAGCAGCGCCTACCAGCAGCATGTACACAAGCCTACCAGTTTCTTGACAGTAGTGAGGGTTAAAGCCGACCCGCCCTTGAGAAACGTAGCAAGAATCTCATCGCGCCCCATGCGCATTGCTGCTCTCACACCGCTCCGCAGCGTCCCCACCGCCCACGACCCCAACCCCCCTCCCTTGCCTCTCTCCTCCTCCTCCTCATTCCCAAACCCCAAGTCCCAGTTGCTGTCTCTTGTACTTCTTCTGTTCTCCTCTGCGGCTTTGCTCTCTTGTCCCATGGCCCATTCCCCTGCTACAGCCCATGGGCTCCCAGAGCTGCTGCTAGTGCTGCTGCTGCTGCCGATGTCCCTGAGAAGATTTTGGGCAACAGAAGATTGGAAAGGGAAGGTTGGCTACTGAACTTCGCCTCTACAGCTTAGATTAGTCATGCAAAACTGAGATCAGAAATAGAGCAGGTTAAACAAAGGCTGCAGCTGTTACTGCTTGAGCTGAGGGAAGCAGGTTTCAGCGATTCAGCCTATTATCGAAAAAAAAGAAAGGAAGGAAGAAAGAAAAAACACCTGGAACAACAAGTGCGGCCTATAAATCAGTCACTCTTGACGCCCACTGCCTCTCAGGATACCAGTTATCCACAACCAGTTACCGCTTCACCCGTCATTAGACTTACTCTTCCATAGTGTCCGCATAGTTGTTGAGCAAGTGCAGGAATATTTCGCTCTCTAGGTCAGGCGTGGACAGCGACACACTGCATCGCACTCCCAGCCGCTGCCGCACCGTCAGCAGCACATCTCGGTACGAAGGGCGGTTGCCACTGAGAAAACAAAACAAATCGAAAAAGCGAAGCGGGAAAGACAAAAGCGAAAGGGGGGCACACGGAGGGACGTGAGGAAAAGGTAAGGTGATTGAAGGAAAGGGACGCAAGGGAAGCATGGATGGTCTAAACGCGAGGCAGTTTCCACCGAGACGGGCAATGGACAGGCAGAGAAGGAGAGAACGAACGGGGGGGCACCCACAGAATGGGGCATTTGGTACATCAGAAATGAGGTGAGGGGCGGGGAAGGGGAGGGACAGGGGGCGGAAAGGGAGGGGGGGGGGGATTGGTAAAGGGGGATGGGTTGGGGAGGAGGGAGGCGAAGCGGGAAAGGGGTTGTGGTCGAAGTTGACAGTGCTGGTCGTTTACGTATTGTCAAATCCCACCCTCACTCACGTCACGGTGTCTCGCGCATCAGCGGACAGGAAGAAAAATCGGGCCTCCAGCCGTTGAATTAGATCCTCCCTCTCCAGCCCCTCGCTGCTCTCCCCAAAAGCCGCGCTAAACAGCTGCGCGGCAGACGCGGAACCATCCCCCGCAGTGATCGACTTAAACACGGGGCTGAAGAGGCTGCGGCCGTAGAGAATATCCCATAATTCGCGCAGCTCCTCATCGCTCGCCAGGTGGAGCACGAACTCCACGTCATCCTCGAACCACGCCTTGCCGTCCACGTCACCCAGAGCCGGCCCTTCTCGTCCGTCTCGCGGAGCTGCTGCGGCAGCGACGCTTCGCCTCGCCGCTCGCCCGTTTTTCCCGCGTTTACGTTCCCGCGCTCCTGGCCAAACAGCGGGTTCGCCCAAGTCACGGTTCCAGTCTGACGCAGCGGAGATGACGGTAAAAACTGCGAGTGTGTGGTGGATAACGAACAAAGTATTCGGCCATATCATTCAGCGAACGCAATCACTCAGCCCATGGCGGTTCTCGACACCGAATAAATAGGCGTTCAAAGGAGAATGGCAGACAGGGATCATGACAGGACGATTTAACAGGAAATCAAGTGAAGGTGGTGAATGGGATTTAAGGCGTTTGGCCAAGAGAGTCATGTTCTTTCGTGGCATAATCGTCAACCTTATGAGGGACTTCTGGAATTGATTCGGAATCCTCTCTTCCCGAAACCCGAGTCCTGCTTGTCGACATTCTGTTAGACAGGCGGCAAACTCTCTACAGATCCAAAAACATACGCGGAAATCGATCACGAGGCTCGCAAACGCAAGCCGACACGCACCTCGAGGGCTTCTCCCGCGAATTGGTTGACCAAGGTCACCACGCCTCGCTCTGCATCGCGCAGACGGCGGAAGCAGCTGCTGCACATGGGGAGCCAGAAGGAGAGGCGACAGCAGTGAAAATCGGTACGGGAGAACGCGGTCACGCTCTGTCGGAAACTATAAGTGAGCTTTTCTGGAAACACAAAGCCGAGTTTGCGGATCAATCCTGTGACTCCGAGCGTGAGAGGAATGGAAGTGCGAAAACAGGCGAGCAGGTGGAGCATCCGGCCCCAATAGCCGCGACGAGGCACATACATTATTGAAGGTATTAAATTGCTGGAGCTCGTAAATCCATTCCTTGAATCCGCTGGTTGTGGTCGACAAGAGGCTGCATCCGCTAATGGCTACACGAGAAGCGGCAGCCATTATAATATTATCCACTGCTTTAGGGAAGTGTAAGGGCCGGAATGGCTCTGGGACACAGCTCCGACGCCGTCCACCTGAGTCGACCGTGAATAAGCTCCTAAGAAAAAGACTGACGGAGCAGGGGAGAGGCAAGCAATTAGCCTCTAGGAGTCACCCAACTGCACTCAAACTTGAGCCAAGTTAGGGGAGCCAACTCGCAGGAGACAATCACGCAAGCCAAATGCTGCTGTTATCCCTGGACTGGAGCAACTTCATCCAAGTAGAGAGGAACGCCGGGCACGCACTCTCACGTTACCCAGCACGACTCACTCAAGTCACACACCCCTCACGACATATCAGACCGACCAATCCCTTTTTAGCAGCCACTTCACCAATCACCACCACACACACACACACAAGACCTCGATCTTGTCCCTGTTTCATGGATTTCTCCACCAACCAAACGCAACACAGGATTCTGTCCGTCGGATCGAGGCATCGAACCTCTAAACCGCCCGTTTTCTCCCCGCAACTGCAGGACTTATGGGGGATCGTCCAGGCGCGCGGCGGCGCCGTGGTGTCGCGCAGGAGACTCAGAATCCTCGATTGTGGTTTAGTTCGGCAAAACATTTCACACTAACAGAGACACCATCAGAAACGATCTGGTATGCCTTCCTGCTGGGTAAACATTTCTTCCAAATTTGCTTCCCTAGATATACATCCAGTTTTCTCGAAATTCTCAGGCATAAGGAAAATGGTTATAAGACATTCCTGAGATCCTGTAGAACAAGTCTCTAACTGTCAAATGGTATCAATTTTTCACATGTGAAAGAAGGATGTCCTTTTAGATCTCCAATCATCCACACATTAGCAAATTGCAGCATAAGTCATCACTTCTTTGCCTGAAACGCCTCCACTTCATTGTTGCGCCCTCATCCCACCATCTCTCTCTCTCCACTGAGTCACTCTCCACCTTACTGTCAAACTATGTTTGTATTAGTGGATATGCTATAGTAAGTTGCATGTTAGGGGGTACATACGGTAAAATCCTTGGGAACTTTTACTTGTACCCACCCTTTGACCCAATGACCATCGTACCGTACTTGCTACCTACCAAGCCACTAGATTCTGAGATGGTATCAGCAGTAGGTTCGTTCATATCCTAGGAAAACGCGCCCTGTCCTGCCGGTTACGCTCCCCGCCCCGTTCGTAACGCGCCCCGTTCATAATTCGCCACGTCCGTATTGCGCCCCGTAACGCCCCGTAACGCTATGTCTTGCTTCGTTCTCATCCTCGTCGTTCTCCGCCTAACGCTGTTCTCCTGTCACCTCCTGAGTTGTCCCTTACAGCCTCCTCATCTCACCCTATCACTGTCTACTACCGCGTAGCTTGCCATGATGTCTCTTGTGTTATCGCGACTCTTGTCACGGACCATATTGCCTCTACGTCGTCACTTTTGGCTCTTGCTGCATATGTTTCTGGCTTTGCCACCACCCGTATAGTGACTGCCCGTCCTCTGTCCATCGAGGGGTGAGTCTGCCCTTGGTTGTAACTTCCTAAATGACAAGCAGAACGAGCTGGAGATTTTTACAGTCGCTTCTCCCCATCTCTGTGCCATGCTGCTAGCCCCTGGGGGAGACTCCAACGCCCTTGACATACCAACTCCTAGCCCTGTCAGTGCAGTGGGTCTCTCAGTGGATAGCGACCGTGGGTTAAGAGATGACATCTTGAAGATCCACAAATGCCTACATCGACGTAGTTCCCCTTCCAGGGGCGAACGTTGTCGATGACATGTGGATCTTCAGTGTGAAATGAGCGCCTGGATCACCGCCTGCCTTCAAGACGCGCTACGTGGCTAGGGGCTTCAGTTAGCGTGAGGGGGTTTAATTCTTACAGACCTTCGCCCCGACCCCAAAGATGACTATTCTTCGGATGTTACTTCACGTAGCAGCACAACGAGACTACGAGCTGCACTCCCTCGATCTCCACTACCTTTTTAAGGGCCGCCTTCACGAGGAGATTTGGTTGCGCCGACCCTGGATTGACTGACACTTTCTCTCCTGAGATCCATTAGAGCCTGAGACGACCAGTCTACGTTATTCGCCAGGCACCCCGCGAGTGGCACGACACGCTACACACCACTCTTGCTGACCCCTGGTTCCGTCCTTCGTCCACGGACCCGCTGCTGTTTATTCGCACTGATTCCACTCCGTTCTTTATTCTTGTCTACGTCGTCGACTTGGTCTTCGCTAAACCAAACAGTGTCGCTCTGGTTGATGTGAAATCCAAGATGCAGAAGAGACACACATGCGCTGACCTGGGTGAGCTGCGCCATTACCTTGGCTTGCGGATCACTAGGGACAGAACTGCTCGCACCATTACACTCCCTTATTTATACATGGTGCAACGTGTCCTTCTGAGGTTCGGGTTTCAGTTCTTCACCACACAGCCGACTCCTCTTACCGTCAGCCACATACTCACTTTTCCTTTTCTCGACAAGCCATTTGAGTCCTGTGGTCCCTATGCTGAGCTTGTGGGCTGCCTCATATACCTGATGACGTGTACGAGCTTGTGGGCTGCCTCATATACCTGATGACATGTACGAGCTTGTGGGCTGCCTCATATACCTGATGACGTGTACTCGCCCTGACCTTGCTTTTCCCCTCAACATCCTGTCTCGCTTTGTTGTGACTGGGAGACACCGTCATGTTCACTGGATGGCTGCTGTGAGGGTGGCGAAGTACCTGGCGACTACATCAGGCATGGGGCTTGTGCTTCGAGAGACACAACCAGTTGTGCAGACCGATAACTGCGACCCTTCTTACGATGACGACGTCGAGACCCAGAGGTCCTCTCATAGCTACTATTTCAGCTTGGGCTCCGGTGCTGTGTCGTGGAGGTTTACCCGGTATGTCGTCTGTGGCGTAATCTAGCACAGAGGCCAAGATCTACGCTGGGCTGCGCAGGAGCTTCGCTGGTTAACATTCTTGCTCGCTGATCTTGGTGTGCGGCCGAGCTCTGCACTGACTTAATTTGCTAACAACAAGGCCAGAATTCTCTTGTATCGAAAACGCCGACTGGAGAGTAGACTGTAGTGTAGCATATTTAGATGAGGTAATTTCTACTACGAGAGCTGCAGCGACGAGGGCAGGCACGCCTGGACCTTGTGGCCTCAGCATCCAACACCGCTGACATCTTCACCAAGGCCCTTCCCGCCTGGTGACCACCACAAATTCTCTCTACAACCAGGCCTTGTTGAGGTAGGTTCCCGGTTGCTGCAATTTGGCATTTTGTTTCTTGTTGTATTTTTTTTATTTATATATTTGTGAACTATTGAACTAGCCTTGTGGCCCGTTGCTCGTGCTCAGACTGTGTGGTCCCTTTGTGATCCACAATGTGCTTGATGTGTTCTTTCTCTTGACTGGTCTTATTTCCATGTGCTTATTTCGGTTGTTTTGATGTTCCTCATGTCAAATTATAATCTTGTGTAGGCTATTGTGGGGTAGCTTATATGGGGTACACATTTCTAGGGTTGCATATTTGTATCACTTCCATTCCATAGTCATTCATTCTCGTTTCTTCTCATGGTATCGAGCAGGTTCCCTCGTGGGAACTGTTCCTAGGGCCCACCAAAATCGAACTTTTTTTCCTGCCCGGAGCGCGCCTCGCTTAGGCCTCCTTCGGCCCCGTCGCATCGCCCCTAGCGACCTTCCTCGCCGCCCTTAGCGGCCCGTCGCCATCCTACGCGGCCCAGCGCTGCCCTTTAGCCGCCCGTCCCGGCCCGTCGACGCCCGTGCGCCACCCGTCCCGGCCCCACGCCGCCCGTGCGCCGCCCGTCCCGGCCCCGCGCCGCTGCCCCGGCCCGTCGACGCCCGTGCGCCGCCCATCTCGGCCCCACGCCGCCCATGCGCCGCCCGTCCCGGCCCCACGCCGCCCGTGCGCCACCCGTCCCGGCCCCACGCCGCCCGTGCGCCGCCCGTCCCGGCCCCACGCCGCCCGTGCGCCGCTCGTCCCGGCCCCGCGCCGCTGCCCCGGCCCTTCGACGCCCGTGCGCCGCCCGTCCCGGCCCCACGTCGCCCGTGCGCCGCCCGTCCCAGCCCCACGCCGCCGTCTCGGCCCCACGTCGCCCGTGCGCCGCCCGTCCCGGCCCCACGCCGCCCGTGCGCCGCTCGTCCCGGCCCCACGCCGCCCGTGCGCCGCGCGTCCCGGCCCCACGCCGCCTGTGCGCCGCCCGTCCCGGCCCCACGCCGCCGTCCCGGCCCCCACGCCGCCCGTGCGCCGCTCGTCCCGGCCCCACGCCGCCCGTGCGCCGCTCGTCCCGGCCCCGCGCAGCTGCCCCGGCCCGTCGCCGCCCGTGCGCCGCCTGCCCCGGCCCGTCGCCGCCCTTTGCGGCGTCACGTGCCGCCCCTCTCCGCGGCTCTGCCGCCTTACCTGCGGCCCGCCGCCCTACCAGCGGCCCCGACACCCTACCTGCGGCCCCGCCACCTCGCTCTCGGCCCCGTCACCTGCTGCATCGTCGCGCCGCCCAGCAGTAGAGCAGCCGAGCCGCCGAGCAGCCCAGCAGCCGAGCCGCCCAGCAGCCGAGCAGCCGAGCAGCCGAGCCGCCCAGCAGCCGAGCCGCCGAGCAGCGGAGCAGCCGAGCCGCCCAGCAGCCGAGCAGCCGAGCCGCCCAGCATCCGAGCCGCCCTTCTTCCGTGCCGCCCGGCCTGCCCAGTCTGGTGAGCTCAACCCCTTTGTCACTGCACTGCCCCCCCCACCCTACTGTTTGCACTGCTGGTCGTCTAGGGTCATGGCTACAACTAGTGTCCTCGCCTTTGACGCTGAGGGTAGGGCCATTGACTTTGAGGTCTGGGTAGATGACCTGCAGCTGTTCTTACAGTGCGATAGGGCAGACGACCTCACCTCTCGAGCTGCCCCTGCCCCTGCTCCTGATGCTGACGCCACTGTTCACTCCCAGTGGGCCACGCGCGACGCTGGTGCACGTCTTGCTGTGCGTCGCCACCTCCCTACCTCTGAGCGTG